TGGTGATGATGATGATGATGATGATGATGATGATGATAATGTTGATGGAGATGGTGATGATGATGATGATGGTGATGATAATGATGATGATGATGATGAGGATGATGATGATGATGATGATGAGGATAATGGTGATGATGATGATGATGAGAACTAAGATGATAACTTAGATGATAACGTATATGACTTTGGTAAAACTTTGAATAACAACAAATTTTGTGAAAATCTTACAAGTCTCCACCGTTTTATATATTTTTGTAGTCTACAACGATAACTTTGATGATGATGATGATGATGATGATGATGATGATGATGATGATGGTGATGATGATGATGATGATGATGATGGTGCTGCTGCTGCTGCTGCTGCTGGTGGTAGTGATGATGGTGATGGTGCCGCCGAGGACGCCGGGCCTGGGGCTAGTGGCAAGCAAGGGCGCTGCTGCTGCTGCGTCTGACCACCGGTCAAACATCCCGCTCATTCTCGTCCTCCAACTGGACCCGAAGGCGCGCGCTACTCTCGTGAGCTAGGGCCAGGCAGACAGTCCCCGCGCTCTACGTCGGGGGCCACAGCGGCTAGGGGTGGTTGTTGTTATTTTGATTCTTCTTCTTCTTCCCTCCTATGTGTGTGGCTGGAGTTTTAGTGTGAAAGTATTTTGAACTGCGAGCGAGCCAGCCGGGTGGAAATGTGAAATGGTATGGGTTCAGCGCGAGCCGAGTGGTAGTAGTGCCTGTTCATCTAGGATTATTGTTTTACTGCTGTGGTGGAAATCTGCATTTTGGAGAACCTTGGCTTGTGTATACTTATACTTACTCAGTGTCCGTTGTGCAGGGAGGCTTGTGGTTTGTGTACACGGTTTTCTCATGGTTCTCCCCCCCCCTCCCCCTCGAATGGAAGTGATTTAATTTGTTAAGAATTTAATGGCTTATGAATTTCCCGCTTTCGATTTTAAAGGATCATTGCTTGTACACTCAATACTTCCATAGTTAAACAAAAAATCAGCATGAGTTTTTAAGGTCTGAGGAATGTAAGTGAGACTTTAATTTTTCTATTGCCTTGGGGGGGGGGGGGTAGCTTTTTTTAGGACGGCTTTAGATTTTTTTCACTTTACAAAGAAAGACCTAAAGTTGCATACGAAATTTTTTAAGGGGTGCGATATAATTAATTTTCTCACAACAGTTACTACCTTTTCTAAGAAAAAGAAAACTTTATTGTCTAAAAGGGCATTAGCTTGAAAACCGTTTGAAAAAATAGACTTAAAGTTCTGGTATTATAGGACTGTCAGCAATGCAATGTCACAAACTAAAAAAGTACTAGAGCAATGCTGATCACCACAGTGCAACACTATATGTTTAAGGTTACAGTTAACATATCTGTCTCATGGACACGGCCCAGTGACCATTTATTTGTCATGTCATTGACATTGCTTGACAATATGTGTGAGCTTGATTTTTATTCATTTAAATTGTACTAAAATCCTTTCATCAAAGGCCTTCAGACGAATGGGTTTTATGTGTCCCTCTCATTTTCCTAAGTGACTTATTTTTTTGAGTGTTCTATTGTCACATTGTGCACAAAGCAGCTGTGAATCATACAACTTCAAAGGGGATTTGAAGTCTACCAGAAAACGAAATATGTATTTTGGCTTTCACGGAATAGTTGTGTAGAATTTCAAGGAACATTAAAATATTAAATGACAGTTCTTTAAAAAAAACGGAAAATAAAGTTTTTGCTTTTGATAGAAAAATGTCCTTTTGTATGAGAAAAGTCGAACATGAGAAAATTCAAGTCTGCTGTGATGTGAGACCCCAAACTCGCTAACTTTTACTAGCTGTCTTTTCCACTTACTTGCTGTCCTCTGTGCTGCTCTTCTGTGCCTCTGTGTCATCTGAAAATCCAGTCTTGCCAAAAATAGACTCCTGAAACCATTGCCATCAAATTACTTCTTTGTTGGTGGTTGGCGTGTGCTCTAGTGTGGTTTGCTCCTTCTTTCCTATCAAACAACTATCATCTTTATATTTCTTCCTTTTTATTTTGTTACTACCCTGTAACACCTCTAATCCTCTGCATTTATATGACCATATTGTGTTGCAAGTGCTGTAAAACTCTTACTAAAACTATTAAAACATTACCTCTTTGTTTCTAGATGGGCATGCCTGCACACACACGCGCGCACACACACACATACACACACACACACATACACATACACACACACGCGCTCACACACACACACACACACATACATGCGCGCGCGCACGCGCACCTCCACTTCCAATCTCTCTTCTTAGTGTCTGGCTTTCTGTTTGTATTTGGTAATGGCTTTGTTTCTCTGTTCCTGGGGCTACCTTTTGTAAGCTGATCTGTCTCTTGTTGTCTGAGCAATCAATGGGACCTCAGACTAGTAGCACACCCATGGCTGGAAACCTCTCCAGTTACTGGTGGTGAAGCTCTGAGAGAAGGATGCTGATGCAAACCCCCTCTCCCCACCCCGACCAACATCCTTCCTCTTTCCCGCCTTCACAATCCTAGATACCTACCTGAGTATTAACAATAAGTATTATTTTAAAAAATAAGCGTGATGGCAAGGAAGTATTGTTTCTGCAGTCCCATGAAAGGATGCTGACACCCCCCTCCCCGACCAGCTTCGTTCCCAATCTTTAATATCTATGAGTATTACCAAATGATTATCATATCTTTTTTAAAATGGGACAGCAAGGAAGTTTTGTTGGTGCAGTCCCATGTAAGATTTCTACTTTGAGACTTTAAAGTGGGTGGTTGGTGGGTGCTCTGGTGTGGTTTGCTTCTTTTTTCCTATGAAATATCTATCGTCCTTATTTCCCCTTCTTCTTTTTTTTTTGTTACTCTCTTGTAACGCCTCTAATCTTCTGTCGTTCATATGACCTTAGCGGGTGGTTGGCGGGTGCTCTGGTGTGGTCTGCTTCTTCTTTCCTATCAAACATCTATCGTCCTTTTCTCCCCTTCTTCTTTTTTATGTTTGTTACTCTCTTGTAACACCTCTAATCTTCCGGCGCTCATATGACCTTATGCAGTTGCGAGCGCCAGAGCACCCGCCAACCACCCACTTTAAAGTCTCAAAGTAGAAATCTTACCTGGGACTGCACCAACAAAACTTCCTTGCTGTCCCATTTTTAAAAAAAATGATATAATCATTTGTTAATACTCATAGATATCAAAGATTGCGAGCGCCGTAAAACCTCTACAAAAACAAATATGACCTTTTGCAGTTTCTAGCACCGTAAAACATCTACTAAAACTAAATTAAAGACTTTAAAACTCAAGGACAATATGAAGTGGTATTGAAGGGCAAGGGGGGGAGGGGGGGGGGAGGGGAAATCCTGTGTCCTATGTCTTGATGCAAGACCATGGAATGATAGATTCGGAATGGAAATGATGATGTGAAATTCAAACCCGGTATTTGTGGAAATAGTTATGTTGTTGCTGAAATTTGGGCTGTGTGCAAAGGACAGATCTTCTAGAACGAAACTGATTGTTCAACACAACAATGTACTTGGAGTGACTATTAAATATAGTGAGACTGCTGCATCTAGGCATGCCTTTAATACCATCTCTTCCAGTGTGATAGCCCAGATGAAATTGTTTTTTTTATTTCTGGAGAGCTGGGTTGATGGTGTGTGTTTTTTAAGGATTGTTCTTCTAATTCTAATAAATGAATAATTTAATACTATTCAGACAAATGATTTATCATTGTGTGATGTGTATTTATAGTCAGTGAGGCGATGTGTGCTATTGCCATCAAGAGTGCTGTGCTTTGAAATGTAACAACTGTTGTTGGACTTGCTTTCTGTGTGCGCTGGGTTGACTTTTGATGCTGAAGATGTCTTTGAACAACAGAAAACATAAAACTTAATGATGTAATATGTGAAATAAAAACCAACAAAAATGAAGAAAACATGCCACTTGGATTTTTAAATCATGATATGGATAAGTTGTGCAGTGGGATGGATATTATGCCTTTGGGTAAGACATGATTTTTTTGGCGTGTTTTGTGTATTACCATTTTTGTGTGCCAGACTTTTTAACCGAAGTTTCTATTGCAGTTTGAGTTTGAGGTTGAATATGAGTGTTTATAAATGTGGTCCTTTGTGTTGATGGGCAAAGTGGTGGGGTTTCCCATGCCTACTTTAGATGGTGCATAGCAAACCATTTTTCAGGCTCATTTGCTTTAAGTTAATTTTTTAAAGCAGAGGTGCTTATTTTTCATGTTAATCAAGAAATCCAAATTTCTGAAATTTTCTGGATTTTGTAATGTAATTCTGCTAATATTTTTATTTATATTTTGATCTCTTTTTTAAAATGTCATTTGCACTTCATAAAAAAAACAACAACTCTCAATACAAGATACATTAGACAATATGTGTCACAACACAGTGAAACCAGGTGCTCGTCAATTTTTAGGCCTATGGAGTGAATGGTATAATTTTAAAGCATTTTCATTTTTTGTCTTGCTTTTGATTAAAAAAATACCCTTGTATCTTGCATAGAATTTGAGATATTTGCTATTGAAGGAGGTGGGGTTGCTTGGTGTTTGAGATAAAAATTAGTGAGAAAATGACAGCAAAATTAAAGTGTGGTGACTTCCAACGTTGTGGTGTCCTTGGAAACTGAAAATGTACTTTTTTTGCCTTTGATAAATATTTGCCTGTAAAATCCATGAAGGAATATGTTTTCAAATGTAATTAAAGGTGTTACGGCCAAAACAAAACAAAAATTGATAAAAATTGCCGAAAATATAGACTAAAAATTTTTAACATTAATTTGATGAGTTCCTGATTTCACCTTGTTGCAACATATATTATGATCCATAAATGCTGGATACCCTAGCTGAACTCAAGACTTGTTAAAGTTTTCATGTTTTCCTTTCTTTTTCTGCGTGTATTTTCAGCCCTATGTATGGCTACCATGCCCAGGAGGAACAGTTCCTGAAGATTTATCTCTACAATCCTAATAATGTTCGCAAGTAAGTAAAAGTCAAATACAAGCATGGTTGTATTTTTAAAAGATTTTTCCTTTTTTATTCTTTTTTGTTGTTGTAAGAATATAAATGTGTTTTTTTTAAAGATGTAAATATTGAAGTGGTATATTGTTGTAGGTTAAATGAATACCTTTGATTTTTTTTTTATCAAGCTTCCGAATAATTGCTATACCTGATGAATTTTTTTGAATATATAAAAGTAATTTTTTTATGTTATGATGTGGAGTTATTATGTATTGTATAGGTTATTATATCCACCTATCTTTTGTTTCATCTGTGACCTTTTTTTTTATTGCTATGTCTTGTCTGTAAGTCTGGAACTGTTTTCCTTGTTTCTTTCCCAGAGCTGCAGACCTGTTGCTGGGTGGGGCTGTGATGAGCAAGCCCTACCAGCCCCATGAGTCTCACATACCTTATGCTCTGCAGGTAAGCCTGTTGTTTCTTTGGTACATCTGGTGCTCTCAAACAAGTCAGTGGTTGGAAAAGTACTTTTGAAGTACGGTTGAACTCCGCCAAGACCTTTACCCATTGTTGAGTAAAAAAAATAATTGGTAGTCTTAGACAAGTGGTCCTTGTAAACACTGTCGTTAGAATATGTGAGGCACCATGGTGAAATCAGGCGCTCGTCAAAATAATGAAATCGAAGAAAACAGCATTTTTCTTCCAGTTTGGCAATTTTTATCGAATTTTTATTCCTTACTTAGATCAACACCTTTTATATCCATTTAAAAACACATTGCTTTGTAGCTTTTACTGAAAAACGTTGATTTAAGGGCACAACATTTTAAAAAAATTTACAGTTTGCTAGGACTCGAGCTTGGGAAGTCTCTGTAATTTTACCTCTGAAACCATGTGACCCCCACCTCCTTCAGACCGAAATATCTCGATTTCTATTGAAGATAAATGGACAACTTTTTATCGGAGGATAAATGAACAAACTTTAAGATGATACCAATAACTCCAATTCGCCTAAAATTGATGAGCGCCTGATTCCACCATGCCGTGACACAAAAATGCAGGGGGGTTTGAAGTAGTCGTTTAGGTCAATTTTCTCACAGATATGTGGTATTTGGACCAGGTTTGACTGTACTTTTGAAGTAGTTATGGAGCATCCTTGTCGTGCTAGATTTTATTTGTTTAGGTTATTCTTTTTAACAAAGGAAACCTTCAAAATATGGTAGCACTCTTGTGCAAGACTTGATTTACAGAGTTGAAATCCACTGGTACATTATGGCACATGTTTAATATCACTCTACTTACTGTAAGTCTCTAGACCCTTGAAGTTTTGTTTGGATCTAATCTATTTGGCTAGGGGTGGAAGGGGGGAGGGAAGGACTCAGTAGCCCAACAGAGTATTGGTGTTTGCTTGTCAAACTGGATGTTAGGAGCCTGGTCCTCGCCGTGCAAGTTGTGAATTATTAAATAAGATATGCTTGCTATATTTTTATAACAACTTCATTTTTTTCATTTGGTAGAAATATTTTTAAGCCCTCTTAACACTACTGTGCAGTTTGATGGTACACATTTTGAGTTGTTCTTTTTTTGTGCTTGATTCTCGATTCCAAAACAGAGGTCTTTAGAGACAGATTCTATCCAAAACTCCTGACCCCTAAGGTATTAAGGAAGTCATACTGATTGTCTTTATCAGTAACTGATTGCTGATTCATCTGCCACGGTTGCAGCATTTTTCTGTTTCTTTGCTCAGTCCTTCCATAAAGTTTGACCCGCAGAAAGGTTTATGCTTCAACCCGTTAGGAAACAGGATTGATTGAACGAGCTCAAAAGAAACTCCATTAAAAAGTCCATTATGATAGTGAGAAAAAGGGTGGTCACATTCCTGTTTTTTTTTGTGCCTTGCAGCTTTTCATCGACTACAACTTGTATGGAATGAACCTTATCAATGTTTCTGCACTCAAGTTTCGCAAACGAGGAAAAGGTAATGAAGATATTTCTGTTTTCTTTTGAACTTAAAATGTTGAAGTATTTTTTTAGGCACAAAAGTATTTTGTTGTTTAAATGCCTGGTCTTCGTTTTGTTTGTTTCGCTGAAGATGTTTGCAAATATTTTTTGTTCAGAAGTATATGATGATTGAACAGATTCCCATTAAGGAGAGGTTTTTTTGTCTTTTTTTTTACTACACTGAAGGGACAATTAGTGCCCTAAGAATAAAGTGAATTTAGCAAATATATATCAAATGCCATGTTGAGTGTGGCTGCACTGCTTTGCTGAACCCAATTTACTGGAAATGCTATACAGTGTGTGTATGGTCATACGCTTTAATGTAATAATTTAAAAGGACATAAGCGTGGCGGATAGGACAAAATTGATAAATAATGTTTGATGTTAATAGTACTGAACTGTGTTTATTGCTTGAAATGTTCAAAAGAAAAGAGTGGGAAAACTGGATCGTGTTCATTTCTAGAAATGTTCAAAAGAAGAGATTGGGAGCAATGCCTGCTCAGTCTTCTTTTGTTTAAATATAGATCTTATCTAATTGGGTTAGGTATCTTTTTTTCATTTTACAGACACACATCCAGGTCTCTTTGCTGGTCTGTATCTCATTTTCAGATATTCGTAAGTAAACACTGAATATTTAGAATATTTACTGGACACTTCCCCCCCCTCAGCACCTGACGCACCAAGAGATGAGTCTGGGACAGACAATGGCTCCACATGTCAATCAGCAGCTTTGCAGAAATCTTTGTCGACATCGTCATCATCATCATGCCCAAGATTTGCTCCTATTACAAGTCGAGTTTGGCATGATGAAAACATCCCAAGGTAGCTAATGTCTGTGTGCAAGTGTCAAAGAAAACGTTATGAACAATCCTCCTGCACCTCCATCCCTCTGCACATTTGTTTGCATCCTTGTTTGCCAGAAAATGTCTGTAAAGTGGGTTAGTTTGGAGAGGGTTCAAGTACTTTTTTTGGGGTGGGGGTTAGTTGACAGGACCTTTGAATAATGTAGATTCTGTTTATTTTAGTGTTTCTGAATGAGAGAGAAAGTGGGAGGAGGGTGGGGGAGGTGTGAGAGAGAGGGAGGGAGGGAGGGCGGGAGAGAGAGGGTGAGGGACAGAGAGAGTGAGTGTGATTGTCATTTGAACTTTGTTTTGCAAAGGTCACTGAAAACTTAAGGTTGTGAACAGCTACAACAGCAGAGTTCCTTTTGATCAATATTTGCCTGTAAAATCCTTGATACATAATCTGATATTATTAGACTGTGAGAGTCACTGTGCTGTTTCACATTGTGAGTTACCCTTTGTGTCCTCTCCAGTGACATGTGGCTGCCGTCCAGTGTGGAACGCCAGAGCACTTGTGAGTTAGAGGTGGATGTGGTGGCTGCTGACATCTTGAACAGACAAGAACTTGAGAGTGAGTCTCATGCTTGACACTCTATTTGTACAGGGTTCCCACTCAACCAAAAAAATGGGGGAAAAGCAGGGAATTTCATTTTCAGATTTCCCGGTCGGGAAAACACCATGAAAATGGAATATGAATGGAAACAAAAATATATGAGAGAATGCTGTGAAATCAACGGGCTGCCCATCATTATGAATTTGGTGGTTAAGGTTTTTAAACTTGAAATTTTTTTTACACAAAAACACCATCTTGACATGGCACCCCTGATTCCTTTAAAAAAAAAATGTATTTTTACCATTCGGCTACCCCAACCTGTCCCCACCTTCCTGGCGTATAGCGTAAGTTAGAAAAAACATTCTGATCCCCCCCTGAGGGCAGTGCTACTGACTGAAGTGTCTTTAGGCCATTCCCAAATGGGGGGATATTAACATGTACTTATGCACAGTGGAGTTGTAAATGGGCTGATTTATTAATGTCATGCTCATACTGTGGCAGAACAACATTGGGGAAAATGCTTCTTTTTCTTTCCTCATTCTTACTACCATCATTTTCCTCTACTTCTTTTGTATGTTTGTCACTCTCTTGTGAACTGCTATTTCCGGGGTGCCTTAATAGTTGAAACAAACTTTATCCTGTTGAGGCAAGAGAGGTGAGCAGAGTTACCCTGATTTCCCGTTTGGACTTCTCTGTTGACATCCACCCCTTTGCGTTCATATGACCAGTTATGAGTGCTGGAAAACCTTACTAAAACTAAACATTCAGATCCAGGCAGTTTACATCACAAGGTCACATGCAGCTAACTTTAATAGCCTTTGTGTTTACAGTTCTTGTAGTCACTCTGTACCTCTGCACCCTTAGAAAACATGAGTTGGGAGTAAGGCCAACATTAGATTGACATGGTGTTAAAAAATTCCTCTGCCTTTGGGTTGTGGGTGACGGCTTAGGCCAGTGAGAGAGAATTTTATTTTTGTAAAGGGGCGCCACATATTGTGTAGTGATGTTAAGTCAGGATCAAATGTTTGTGACCTGTCCCGTTGGTTTCTTTTGTTTTTGCAAGAGTCAAGCCAACAGTTTTCCTAACTTGGCAATGATATCTCCGCCGAGTTCTCTTTCGTCATGATTTTGTTGACTTTACAATTATCCTACGATCCCTATCCTTGACATCTCAGGAAAGGCAGTTTAGCTGTCCATGGCCGTGTTCTAAATTTATTTTGCATTTCTCTCCATTTCTTCTTTCTAGCTCTGTCATATCAAAAATCAATATCACTTTTTTCTTATTGATGAGTAGGAACCCTGTCTGTGTGTCTTCTCATCCCCCGTTTCACACTTTCTTTTAAAAAAAATATATATTTGTCAGTACATGAAACATTACTTAGACATAGCTCTCAATGAGGTCTGAGTAGGGAAATGTGTTTTTCAATATAAAAAAATATGTATTCTCTGTGCACCAGTATTGCTCGCCACGAATTTGCACAGGCTGAAGAAAAAAATATGAACTCTTAAGACCAAATTTGGGATTAATGCCTATAAGTCAGTTGAAGAGATCTTTTGCTGCTGGTCTGCAGCTTGCATAATTATCTGGAACCTAATGATCCATGCAGATGGAAAAGTTGAAAATTGTTGTGTCCATCTGAAAAATATGATCATTAACAATTTTAGTTTGACATATCTGATATATCTTCCTTTAGTTAGGCGTGGAAATTAAATTTAATTCAATCACTTATAGTGACTCAAAGCTTTGCTGTTAAAGTTGGTTTTCTTAGTTTGTGTTGCACCCTTGCTTAGAATTTTGGTATTTGAATGTTCTGCGTACATTATCAGGCAATGTTGGAGCCAACCCTGGCTTAGCTGCTCTTTGGGAGGATGAGAAACAGAGAAAACGAGATGCAGGAGAATCCTCACTTATTGAACCAGAATCTTCTCAAGGTTGGTGATATACAACAGTTAATCTCCTCTGTTGATTAATTAGTTTCTATGAAATTGACAGCTTTATTGAAATTTATATTCAGTTCTGAATGTGCACGCCAGTTTTACTTGTTGAAAGAATAATCATTCTCAAAGTTATAGTTTTTTATGCTATCTGCTGAGCAATGAAAATCTGAAACACACAGCCACTTATTGACTGGTTATACTGGTCGCTTTGCTAAATCAGACCAGTTCATTGGCAGTACCAGTATTGCAGTTGGTAAAACTGTATTGGGGGAAAAATGATTCATGAAACTCAGTATTACTGATAAATTATGAAATTGCAATTCTGTGACTTTTGTTGAATTTTTATTATGTTTAGACATATTGTTTTATGTGGAATGAGAATTGTCCATGTTTTCGTGACTGGTACTTTGCTAATGCAGCAAAAACAGTCTTTCTTATGTGTTTGGTGAAATTCACCTCTGTGAGTATCATAATTTGGAACCTTTTTGGTATTCCTGTTTTACAATTAATGTTCTTGTTTATTTATTCAAACTTTCAGCGAGAGGAGGTGTTGAGTGCTCAGAGAGTGAAAAACTCCTTGTCCAACGATTTTTAGCTTTGGTACAAGAGCAGCAGGCGTTTAGGTAAGCATAAATGTGGCCCTTTTTTGCTTTGTAGTTAAGTACACATCAAAAGACTTTGCTGTTCGTATGCATATGGCCTTTGTTTTACAAAACCTCAGAACAGCACTTCAGTTGGAAGTAACAGTTGCAATGATCTACATGCTTAGAAAAACCTTTTTTATCACTTGAACTTGAAACTGCTTTGATTCTTTAGACTTGCTAGGGTTTGCAAGACAGCAATGTTCATTTCTGAAATGATTGGGATAATGGGATAGGTTTCAACCCTGGTGGAAAAATTATTTTTTTTGAGGACTTCACTGAAAAGAATCTACTCTTTGGGCTGTTACAAAATTCTGTCTCGACGAGTAAATCCTGTTTGATATATTTTTGGCTGTCATAAAATTCTGTCTCAATAGATAAGGTCTGTTTGAAGTATATTTTGGCAGGACTACATTTGCAGAAGGCAAGTTTTCGTTAAGCGACGTTGTCTTGACTGATACCGGATGTTTGATTTTATTTTTATTTTTTAACTTTCTTTTGTCTTTCTCATGTGCATGCTTGATCTATTGATTTTAATTATTTGATTCCAGTATCTCCCCTTTTTTTTATCACTGTTGGTATGAAATGTACTTTTGAAGAACCTTTGTAAGGACACCGTATTTAGTGTTGAGAATGTTCTGATCACATAAACAACCCATCACCTCTCTTTTATTTATTTTGTTTGTGTTTGTGTGCAGGGATAGCCAGTCTGAAGAAAGTGGAAGTTCACAACCGTCACTTTCAGCATCACAATTGGAAAGGCATGTGTCCAGAGAAGGTAAGCTGAAATTTTTTTCTTTTTTTTTATGATGAACTTGGCATGAAAATGTAAAAGGGTTTGGTTGTCTTGTTTTCAGTGTTGGGAGTTGATGTGGTGGAACATTTGTCGCTTCAGGTCCCAGGTCCAAGGTCCTGGTTTTATGGAGGCAGTTTAGTTGTATGGCTGGTTATAATGTTGATTCGTTCATTTATTGTATAAGGTAATCGGGTGAATGCTTAAAACTGTCTGACGAAACAAGAAAAATGTGATGCATATCTGTCACTAATGGCATGTCATCTTGTTGCAAAGCATGATAGCCCATTTGGGGCATTGAATTGTACACATGTGGATGGAAATTTTTTGAAAGATGCCGACTAAGTACATTATTCTGTGCTCAATGGGCATTGAAGTTATTTTACATGAAATATCCAGAACAAACCCCCTGCCCCCCACCCCTTTTCCCCAAACACTACTACACACCCCCCCCCCCCCCCACTTTGGAATATATCATATTAGATATTTAACATATTTTAATTATAATTTTTAAAAAAAATTCAAGTGAAAGAAATTGCCACCTCTTTACCTTGCAGATTCTAGCCTAGGCTCTCCTGACACTGTCATTCTAGGGGAGTTGAGTGAGAATGAGGACATGGAGGATGATGAGGATGCTGAACATCCACCCATCATCAACATGGACTCCATCAAGAAAGTTGTTTCTTTCAGTCAAAGTTTTTCTGCCCGAGCATCAGACGACCCTGCCCAGCAAAGTTAGTATTTGTTTCTTTGTAACTGACTAGGCCCGAATTTTTCCTTAGGGGTTTCACTTGAAGAACAAAATTTAAATAAGACGAAAACCAATTAAATCTTCTCTCAGTATTGTACAAGTCAGCTACATTTGATTTTTATGTCTTTTTATTGTATGATAACTTTAACAGCAGCATTGTATTGTTGGGGAACATTGTATATAGCTGTTGATAAAATGCTTATTGGTTTCCCAATCACTGATAGGGAAAAAATAAGGTTTGGTCTGTTTTATTAATTCAGTGTTGAACTCCTGTCTCATAAGCAGCTCAGGAATTTTGTTTTTGCGCTGTAGTGTCATTTTTCTCCTGAATGTTTCAGCATGTAATTGTGTCCTTTGTTAAGGTTCTCAAGACAAGACTGTGGCAGAGGTACTGGCTTCATTGTTGGAGGAAAACGGCGCACCTCCGAGTCAGCTGAGAGCCTTGGAGGAACAGGACAGTATCCTCAGTCAAAGTTTGGTTCTGGGAGAGGAGGAGGAGAAAGAGGACGAAGAGGAAACTATGGCCATGACCCAAAGTGTTTTTAATGTGGACGAGAAGGATGAGTATGTAACAATTTTGAAAAAAATTTTTTGGGGGTGGGGTGGGGGTTGTTTATTAAATGGTTGAAAGAATGCGGTTGTTAGAATGGTTGGCTGTTGGTGTTCTGTTGGGTGGTCTTGTTTCCTTTTGGTGTGTATGTTTTCTGAAATAATTCGTGACATGTCTTGAATATACGACTATGACCAATTGACATGAGACATTTAAATTGTATTATAAGCCTGATTTTAAATTCCCAAGAGAAGTTGTATGAAATTATGAGTAATTATGAACAATAGCGGCACTTAAAATAGCAATGCCAATTGGGCTTTCCCGCGAGGCGAAAATTTGGTCCCCGTTTACGGGCGATTTTGCGGACCCGGCCGAAGCGTAGGTGACTAACTTTGTCAACCTCGGTCTGCTCTATTTCCGAATCAATCCGAATGAAACTCGGCAACCAATCAGAAAATAGGGCAAACTAATGATATGTGGACGTTGAAGTTCGTACACATAAATTAACCTATACTTTTGGTGTCGGGAACACTTTCGTATCGTGTACACCGAAAACTATAAGGAGTTTGAATTTGTACGCCGAGATGGTAATAGATCTATCTATCCTCTATAGTGTGCTCAAATTTGAACGTTCTGTGTCAAGTAGTTGTTTAGACCCGATCATAAATGCACGACTACCCCCCCTATCCAAAGCGGCTTTGCACAGAGACCGGCCATTTTACCCTCACTCTCGTGGCAAATGTATGTGACCTACAAATCTCTGCATGACTATTCCGGGCCCGTTCATTGGTCACTTGAAATAGGACAATGGCGGGCGCGCGCATCCGGTTGTTTTTCTTTTTATTCCCCTGTAACATCGCAATGGGGGTATTCCAAGGCGAGGTTATCTCGTCTCGGGGTGTTCGCGTCTCTACGGGGAAAAAGAATTTTTAATTGTACGGCATGCTAGATTGAATTAACTTATCTTTTACGGTTGGCATGGTCTGAAGTCATCATAAAAAGCTTTGCAATTATTTAGTCACGCTGCCGACATATATTCTTAAAGATCCCATGTTGTGATACGATGCTATAAATAAAATGTACTCATCCCGACACCCCTTTTTCGCAAAATCGTAATATGTACACCACAATTTTAATTATAACAAAATAACTACGAAATTGGTAGTAAATCTGACTGCAGAAATTATTTCTACACTCAAAAACACATTGGGTAGCCAAGTTTCTCTCGAACACTCCGATTAGTTACCGAGATATCGTTGATTTTCTTACAGAATCTGCTACTGCGTGGTCCACTTTTTAGGAGTATTTTCCTATATGTGGGTCATCCATATTTTGATGACCTTTACAACCCCATAACTTTTTTATTTATGAACCGATTCTCAAAATTCAAGAAGCATAATTCTTAGAATTGAAAATTCTTTCTTAGGTACCAAAAAAAAGGGGGGCAAAAGTGAAAATTTAAATTTTCATTGGCATTGCTACTTAAAATGATTATAACATTGTCTTTCAAAGGTTTTCACATTGGTGGAGTGTAAAATCAAGTCCTTTCATTTCTTTTACTTTTCTGTTGACAACATGCAAGTATAGGTGAGAAGTACCTTAATATTCATGGGACATCACTTATGATTGCTTACCATTATGTAAAGGAATTCAGAATAGGGTATCGATTATTGTATCATGCGCTGTTCACTCAGACGATGGTTGAGTTTCAGTTTTTTAATGCTGCTTGTAGTAAAGTGATTTTGTTTTCTTGTATTTTACAGTGGGCCATCTACGAGTAAAGATGTGACATTGCGGAAATCAGATGATGATGATGACATTGTTATGGGCACAGATGAAGAAAGCAGTGATGATGAAATTGATTTACTACCTCAGTTTGATGGAGCTTCTGATAAAATTTCTGGTATGTTAAAAGATGTAATTTACAAGCTTTTAAATGTACTAAGCCTAGCAAATAACATTTTACAGGAAAGAAAAAAAGAACCTTTTTCATTCTTTTAACAAATATATAGCCATTATTTTTTTCTTGCTTTTTGTCAATATTTAGAATTTGAATTTTGACAAAATATTTCTCGAGGTCATGCAACCTATACCACAGATTAAGAAACGGTAATAAAAACATTTTGAACATTTTAGACTTAGTGGGGTGTAAATATTTAAGGATTCTCTTTTGGAGGGACACACTGAGGTACTTTCACTGTGCGGAGTTAGCAATAGCTCTGTGTTAAATTTTTACGGTTTTTGCCCATTTTTCTATTGTACTATTGTTTTGAATTTGTTTACGAGCATCATGTGGAAAAGTTTCAAGTGAAAAGTTTACAGTGGTATTTTTACATCTCCATGTTCTCACAATGATTATCATGGAAGGTTGTTGTTGTTTTTTTCCTAAATCTTGACTGATACTTTGGGAGACAGCTATTCGTACAGCAAGTAAGGTGTTTTGAAGCCATTCTAATTTTACTCAATGCTCCCTGCCTTTGTGCTATTAAAAATGTCTAAATACTTTTTACTTCTGTGTCCAATATTGGAGAAGAAAGTGGTACATTGTTAATCGCTCCTTCGATAATATTTAGAGAGAGTAGTGATTGCCTTTCTCAGAATGGACAAATTAGGGATATATGAGATAATGTAGTTTCCCTCTTTTTCTATTTGTATGTGTCTCCTTCAAAGTTATTCTGAAGTTGATAAAGTTCTCATATACTTGGCATTCTCATCTTTTAAAAAACATTTCTTTCTTAGATTTCCTTTCTCTAGACTGTTACTTTTTTTGTTTTAAAAAATATTGTGTAATACCCATTTTTTAAAAATGCTTTCAGGATCAATGAAAAAGTCTGACAAATCTGGGTCAAGTTCTACGCAATCTCCTGCGTTGGATGAGGTGCCATCGAACCAAAGTCTGTCCATGGCTGGTCGCGCTGGAGGGTCTGGAGCTGGTGGGATGGTGGCTGACATGACCTGGGGATCAGGTAGATCTCAAGGTGCAGGAGGGAGTGGCTCTCAGGGTAGCGGTTACCCAGTGCCTGCAGGGGCATCCTCTTGGTCACAGCAACCTGGAGCCTGGGGGTCCTCCCCTCAGGTCAGCGGGTCGTCGTCGTCGTCAGGCTGGCAAGAGCAGCCAGGGGGCAGTGGGAGCAGCCAGTGGACAGCACAGCACCACCAGTACCCTGCGGGCTGGCCGTCGCATCACTCATCATCTCGCCAGCAGCTTCAGCAGGGGTCACCGGTGGCCTCACAGTACATGTCTCACCAACACATGCCCTTCAGGTCGCCCACCCCTACCAACCCCCACCCGTTCCACTCTCCCTCCCACAACCGATACGCTGCCTCGCCGTCCTCGCAGACGCAGTCGCAGCAGGGACAACCATCATCTTCACAGCAGCCAGCAGCGTTTCAATCCCCGTCCTCGTCCCCCCACTCCTTCCAGTTCTCTCAGTCGCCCTACCAGTCTCCTTCATCTAGCCAAGGTGTTCAGGATCCCTTCCACAGCCCGTCATCCTCCCAACTCCCTTATCAATCCTCTAGCCACCTCAGTCAACAGCAACAACAACACTACCAGTCACGTGGCCAACCCTATCACTCCCCTTCTGCGAGCCAGCCGTATCATTCACCTCCTTCAAACTTGCCGCCACCATATCAGTCCCCTTCGGCCACCCCATCATATCAGTCCCCGACCTCTGCTACCCACCCCTATCAGTCCCCTGGTGGGGGACAGATGTACCCGTCCCCCTACCAGTCCCCATCTCATCAGCCGTTCCAAGCCTCTCCCCGACAGCCATTTGCCCACCCATACCAATCGCCCACTCAAGGAGCCAGTTCTAGCCCTGCAGGCTCCAGCAGCAGTCGCTACCCAGGTCCTCCGACCCTCCACAGTGGTGGCTGGAGCCCCCAAGCTTACAACGCTTACTACCATGGTAGTAGTGGAGGGGGGCAGCCCCCTGGAGGAGGAGGTATGGGCAGTAGCAAGCAGCACCAGCAACCACCACCGGGATCTCCGCACGCTCTACAGCAAGCCCGACAGTCCCCTCACCTGGCCTCCTTTGGACATCCAAGTTCTTCAACTCAGCCTCCTCAGACGCAGCAGATTGCCATGAGCTCAGGGTCGTCTGGTTCTTCTCAACACGCTGGTGGGGCAAGCTTGAACCATGTAGTGAGCTCCCCGCCTTCCCAGCAGTCGGCACCCAGCTCTAGTGGACCTGCTGTACAGCACAGTCTGGCTCCAGGTTCTAGCAGTGCAGTCCCCTCGGGCTCTATTGGAAGTGCAGGACCTTCCTCCTCGGTCTTGGCTCCAGCCAGTGGCAGCGGCATTCACCCTGGTGTCATGTCCCATATGATGACCACAGGGTCTCAAGCCCTGCAGGGTAAGTCGGCCCAACTGCTGACCTCCTCAGAGGGGAAGATGTCTCCCAGTTTCAAGTCTCCGCAGCCACCTTCTCACTCTAGTCCTCTCCATACCTCAGGGGACAGAGGTAAGGTCAATCATACGAGCATGGCTCATGCTGTTGCTTCAGGGGTGCCAATGGGGGCAGGCTCTCCATCCATGCCCCAGCAGTCTCAACATTTCTCTTCTCAGGGTTCTTCCCAGCCTTCTTCAGCTGCTACATCAGATATGAGCTTGCTGTCTGTCAAAGCTCAGAGTGATGGAGGATCTGTTATTCCTGGTAGTGGGGAGAACAGTAATGCTGTGATGCAGACCTCACCTTCAAGCAAGAATTCAGAAGCTCAGTCTATCACTAGAATTTCTACTCTGGATTTCAAACCCAAGGCTAAAGCTAACCTAGAAAAGCGCACTGACGAAGATAGTAAGTCCAAGTCAGATAAGAGCCTGGACAATACTTCAGCCACGCCAATGATTCAGCAGCTGCTGTCAGAAGAGTCACCAGCGAGGATGAATATTACTCAGGAGGAAAGAGAGGCGGCAATAAAGAAGCCCATGCTTAGCCCCACGCTACCGAAGAGCAAGAAGAAGAGCAAGAGCAAGGGAGGTCAGAGTGGCAAGAGCCGACCTCGCAGCACCAGCATGTCTTTCCCCATGGCCCCTGTGTCGCCAGGCTACCCCAGCTACTGCCCTCCTCAACCCATGATGAACCCTCACATGCTTGCACGGCCCGGACGCTCTCACTCAATCTCCTTGCCTTTCAGCACAGAACAAAGGATGCACCATGGACCAGGGGGACCAGAGTATTCTTGGCAGCAGCAGCAGCAGTGGAAGCAGCAAAACTTTTGTGGCCTACCCAGTCAGTGGCAGCAGCAGCAACAGCAACAGCAAGCCCAGCACCAACAACAGCCTCAGCTGCAGCAGCAGCAGCAGCAGCCATGGGGGCCGAGTCCGTGGCAGAACTACGGCTCTGTGGGAAGCCCAGTGAACAGCCAGCCGGGCTCAAGTGCAACAGTTTCCCCTGTTGTCAACAGCCGACTGCAGCAGAGGTCTTTCAGTGCCGACTCTGCCCAGCCAGGTTTCTTTCAGAACAGCTATCATCCCCAGCAGAATCAGATAATGCCTTCTTGCTCAAACAACAGCCAGACCTCCAGCACAGCTCAGGATTCGCCACTCAGCCAGCACCACCACAACCAAGTCACCACCACAGTAACAGCAGCCACCACCACTGAGTCAAAAGTTGCTGCCACGGGAGAGGAAGCTGAGGAGAATGACAAGTCATCTCTGTCCAGTCTTTTGCAGTTAGTCTCTGATGTAGGCTCAGCTGGTGAAGGTCCTATGTGGGACAGCGGGAGTTCGACTGTCGTACCCAATCTATTCCCCAGTGGCAGCAATGGGGGTGAGCTGGAGACGAACAAATCTAGCCCCGTCATGTCAGAGCTGAACCAGGGCAGCCCATCTATCAAGGATTTTATAACTTTAGAAACTGCCCCATCATACCACCTGAAGCATCCTCTGTCTTACGAGCCGGCTGGCTCAGACACGACCGGTGTCACCTCTTCAGAGGAATCTGACAAGGTGGAGTCAGACATTGCTGCAGACATCAAACCACTGTTGAAGGGTGTCGGAGCAGGAGGCACCATGCCTCACTCTCGTCTGGGAAAACACAACCGCATGAAGAAGATGGGCCTGGCTCATGGAAGGCTCTGGCTCTCTGGGCAGGGAGAAGGTGGGGCCAATCCTTCCTACACTTACACCTTTCATGTGCCCACCCCAGTATTCAAGAAGCTCAAATTCTTTAAAAGCCCTGAGGCACGGAGACACAGTGTGAAAGTTGTCCGAATGCACCCCATGGATGCCCGTCGCTACAGTCTGCTTAAGATAGGAAGAGAAGTGGTCAAGGTAGTCAAACTCACTGAGGAAGACCTAGCGCGGTACAATGTTACCCTTCCACTACCTTCACGAAATCCAGATGGCTCCAGCAACAGAGTAAACCTGGACATCCCGAGCGTGAGCATGGACAGAAAGGGTTTTGACAGCTCTTCTGATGACGGAGGTCTCTCCAAGTTTGACACCGACTTCCCTCCAAATAAAGTCGCTCCGCCCAGCTCTTTTCACGTCAGTCAGGTGAGCGCCTCTCTCTCAAGAGCTAGCTCATCCGTGTCCAGGAACCAGATTGTCACAGCGAGCGCTGCCATCAACAATAACAATGCCTCATACCCTGACTGGACAGGCCGGCAGTTTCAAGGGCAGCAGCAACAACAACCCTTGAACTACAATGGGGGAAGTCAACACCTGCCACACCATCAAGGTGCTTCTCCATCATATGTATATCAGTCTCCTGGTGAGGACAGGAATTTTAGAACTTTCCCAATGCACTCTCCAGGTGGTTCTGGAAGCTATAACATGAACTGCCAGTTCCCTCCACAGTCAGATAGAGTGGTAGCTGGCTTTCCACAGTCCAGTCCGAAGGATGATCACTTCAACTCCCCAGGTTCTGCCACGTCTTCTGTACTGCCAATGGGAACCTTCTACTCTAGTCAACAACTAGGAGCCTACTCAACAAACCACCCTCAGTACCCCCAGCCACCCCACCCCCACTTTTATCCCAGCCACCGTCACCCACATCCCCAGCATCATCCACATCATCAGTTTCAGCAAGTTCCGTCAGGGCAATACCCCCAGCCACAGCTAGCACAGCAGCAGCAACAGTATGCGGCTCAGCAAGGGGCTGCTGTTGCAGGGTACCCCAATGCTCAGATGGAGTCAAAAAACGAGTTGCGTTCCCCGGGCCAGCATGGGCCAGTGAGCACAATTGACAGCGGGAGTGTCTCGGGCCACAGTGGTGAGGAGGAGGAGGCGGCGCTGACTGCACCACAACACCACAGCGCCCCCACCACTGGGACCTTCCCTGTCAATACCCGGGTGAACGCACTGAAGGGGGAGAACCATGCTGAACATCTGGCCACCGCCACCACCACCACGGCAGTGACCATCGTCCACCGCCGGTTGTGTGCCAGCACAAGGGAGTCTGGGAGCAGCTCTCAACATGCTCCGCAGATTGAACCTAATACTGACTCTCATGATAACCACATTTGTGAGGGGGACCGATGTATTCAATGTGCCACAATGACACAGGGAGATAGACTAGAACTTAACTGCGATAAGTTTCGCCGGAAAGTACGCAGGAAAAGAAGGAAAAAGTCCCGCTTGTCTTTGAAGCGAACTGTGCCATCTTGTAGGGGTACTGCTGACAGTGTGAATGAGAGCTTGAAACCTGAAGTACATGCGAGTGAATTTTTTCATAATCATCAGGATAGTGACCATAATTGTGACGTGAAAGATTGCTCTGCAGCTGCATGTAATGCTGAGGAGAATCAATTCACCATGCTCAAACCGGATGTGAATCTCAACGACTCTGGGGTATTGGATCGAAAGCTCAGGTCGAAGAATGTAAAGTCCTTGCACTTGAAGATTCCGAAATCTGTCTGGGAAGGAGGAAGTGCGGCTGCCCCTGGAACGAGCTCCGCCAATTCCCTAGCTACCATGGGCAGGCTCTCGGTATCCAGCTCCCACAAGGAGACTTCAGACGATGGGGCCAGTGCAGATTGTGAATTCCTGCCTTTGTACCCACGCAGCCTGAGGCGGGCGCGAATGCCTTCTGTCAGCTACTCGAGTCTGAAGAGCAGGCAGCCTCGGAAGAAACAAGAGCCTGTCCAGAAAGAGGGAGTGCACTACATCGTGGTTGGCAAGTTTAAAGGTTACAAATCTATGCAGGTGCAGATAGAGCGGGTGAATGTGGTGAAGGGGGATGTGGTTGATGCTAGACATTATGAGGAGATTGCTAAGAAGTCTATAGTGCGCAGACCCTCAGGCAGTTGTGTTGAAAATGGACTTTCAGGACTACTGAACAGGAGCGCCACTTCAGAAAATAACCGTCATTGCGAGGAGTCGAATTTTGTTGATGAAAGTGGACCTGACGGTCAACCTACTGGGAGTCTTTACAAACTTGTTTCGGCGAAAAAGAAAAAAAAGGTGAAACCAGGGCGAAGAAAGATGAAAAAACGTTTAAAAAACGGGTTGAGAAAATCTAGTCAGATTTCTTCTTCAGAGGTGTTGCCAAAAGATGCTCAGACAAAAAACGTAGAGGCTGGCCCCTTCCCCCAGCAAGGGGCCAGTGAAATATCTTTTAACAGTTTGCCCAGCTCTCATGATGTTTTCTTTTACAAATTCAAGGAATACTTCATACGAAAGCATCATGAAAAAGAGACCATTTCAGCCGGGGCTGTGCAGCAGTCCATTGCCACATTTTTCCCAAATGTAGGGGAAGCTGATGTTGAGAGGTTCAGACAAAAATTTGAAATAAACATGACAAAGCATAATCATGAAGAATTCTCCTCCAGCTCTGATGATGAAGATGACTTTCTCGATGATCTGATTTTGAAAGGGAAAATTTTAGAGCTAAAAGCAAATCAGCTGGAGACAAGTTGTGAACAAGTGAGGGACAATGAACAGTCAGAATCTATCCGTGAGACAGCTGTTGGTACAAAAGAACTCTGTGAAGAGTCGAGAGAGCAGCAGATTTCTGGTGCTCAACCCATCTATATTAGGACTCCTGATGATGACACCGTGAGTCCGAGCATTCCAGAAAGTAAAACCCACTGTGTGGATGTGGTCACTCCAACTGATGTGGACAATGTTTTGCCTTGTTGTGAAAGGAGCCAACTTCCTAGTCCAATACAGGAGAGCGAGGATGAAAAGTTGATATTTACACCTAGCAGTCTGCCCAATCCGGTAGAGCTAAATTCGAGCGCAGAAAAAGGTGAAGGACGGGACGATTATCTCAAAAGTCAAATGGCCTTCTTTGAAGATATCTCCTCAGATTCTGACAGCAATAATACCATTATTGTTGATGGCGTCCCCGGAAAAGAAAGTGCATCTTTCACGAAAAGTTTGACTTTCTCTCCCATTGCTGCATATTCGGCCAGGAACACTGCAGAAATATCTCCACCAACAGAGCAAGTACCTTTTGGTCTTATGGGACCTTTTGGAAGGTCTGTCACCGATCCTCTTGGTTTGGAGACAGCGGTTGCTCAGTGTGGCCTTGAGGTCCACATGGGTACTGCTGGTCCAAGGCTGCAGAGGTCTGAGAGTGTGGTGGCAGACCCGTTGGTCACTGACCCGTTGGGTCTCGAGACCCCTGTGAATAACACCTGCAGCATGGAGGTCCTAATGCAGGATGCCAGTCATGGGTCCCAGAAGTCGGAGAGTGCTGCCAGTCTGACAACACGCCAAACCTCTCTCGTCGAGGAATCTGCTTCTCAGGACTGCCCCTTGTCACCCTCACTTGGTGCGGCTGTAGGTTGTAACTTCCACAGACCTTCAGTATCGGTGTCAGAGTCGAGCCCAGGTCAAAGCCCTGATCAGAGTCTGGTCATCGATGATGTCCCAGAGCCATCGGGAGCACAGATTGCTGTGATGGCATCCCAGCAGGCTGCTCAGGGAGACACTGGTGCAACAACAGAAGGGAGGGAGAGGAAGTGGGAAAAAGCCTCCTCTTATGATGTTGCTGTCAGTGAAATTAACAGCAGTAAGTGCATGGATGATAACAATGATGGCTGTAATGCAGTGAAAAGTCTCGATGATCATGAGGAAGTGCATGAGGTTGACAAGACAGCACATATGAAGATCAAGGTTAATTTAGTCACAAATGCAATTGTCAAAAAAATTCCCTCAGTCACAGAAAGCAACACAGAGACCTCTAAAGAAGTATGTAGTGAAAAAGAGACAATACCTGTGAAGGAAGAGAACTCTGGGAAAAGAAAGACTGTGAAAATACTGAAAGGGCGCATTAAGTCGAAAAATAACAAAAAAGTTCCTGATTACCACAGTAGCTCTAACGAAGACTCTGACGTTGCCAAGCATTCTGTGTGTCTGGAGCAGAGTAAACGTCTCCGGCAGCGCAAACAGGTGCGCTACACCTTTTGCCCAGAGGAAATTGGTACGTCTGATGAGTTCCGCTCCTCTAGCGATGATGATGTTAGTGATTCCAGTGTGACAAGAAAGAAAGGCAAGCGCTCAAAGAAGACCAGGGCTAGAGGCTCGCAGAAGAACGTGGTTGTCTTGCAAGAGCAGAGGTTCCGCGAAAGAGCTGCAGACAAAGATAATGCCAGTGCAACTTGTAGCAACCCAGTGAAGAGCAATGTCGGCTCTCGAGCTACTCGTGGGAAGAAAAAGAAAATGGCTGGTGGGGGCAAACTGTTCAACAGCCTGAGCTTGCTGCACATGGCCACCCTAGCTAATCTGACAGAAGTCCAGGGGGATGGAGATGCTGAGAACCACCAGTCTGTGTCGGAAGTGGCGGCTGACTCGGATGATGTTGTGCCCTCTCAGTACTCCGATTCGGCGAGCATGGACCATGAGGCAGAGTACAGCTCCTCTCTAGAAAACATGTCTTTCATATCTCCTCACACTTCAGAGGAATGGGACGCCTCACCTCCCCTGGCATTTTCTCCAACAGATAAAAAGAAAAAGTCGGGTAAGGAGGCAGGAGGTTGGCGCGGTGGTAGGGGCAGAGGCTCTCGGAGGTTCCTCAACTTTCAACCTCGGCTACGACAGAACATCAGGCCGGGCCTCAACGGGGCCTCTAACCTGGGAACCAAGCCTTTACCCTTCAGCAGACTGGTGAATTCGTCTGCTTCCTCCTCCCCGGTACCCTCCAACTTTACATTCAACCATACCTCCATGGATGCAGTGTCCTTAGCACAGAATGAGATTGTGCCAGCTAGTGAAGACGCTAACAGCAGCAACATTGGGAACACTCTTCACCTTCTTGAGACTAAACGAGCCCAAGTGAACTGCGCTTCGTTTTCTATGAAGGACATCTTACGACTGACCACGAGCCATGAAGATTCAATGGACTCTGACAGCAAGGACAGTGCAGCGGTGTGCAAGCCACCCGAGCCGCGGCGAGCACAGGTTAAGAGCACCAGCCTCTCCATGTCTGACATTCTCAAGCTGACAAACTCGGAGAATGCAGAAGTGGATGATGGAAATGGCACACAGGCTTCCACTTCTTTGCTATCTCAGCTTGCTAATTTCACTGTGCCTAAAGAACAGGGTATGGGTATGGATAAAACGGGCGATGAAGACGCCCCGCAGGCTTCAAATTCATTATTATCTCAAATGGCAAATTTTTGTAATCCAGTCGTAGATAGAAAGCAGAGTGTGGACTCTGAAGATGGGGAAGTCACACAGGCGTCCAAATCTTTACTATCTCAACTGAAAGACTTCAGTCTACCACAACAGGAGCAGAATGAGAAAATCACTGTTGATGAAAGTGATTCCACCACTCAGGCTTCAGACTTCTTGTTGTCCCAAATGGCAAACTTCAGTGCTCCACCACAAAGTTACAAAAAAGAGACCCATAAAGGTGGTGAAGAACCCACTCAAATATCAAATACTTTTTCTTCTCCACTAACAAGACCGAGTGTGCCCCAAGAATGGATTCAAAAGGGGACTCGGAGAGAAGATATAAGAGAAGATGTACAGGGAAGTTCTCTAAAGACCCCAAAGGAGAAAGATATTGAGAAAGTTGAGTGTAAATACGTATCTGTTGAAAATTTGCCGAGTGCCGATAAGAGTTGTACTTATGAAAACTTGGCTCTGCATGTGACCAGTGAAGAGAAAGATAGCTGCAAAGATTCAACATGTGAGGACACGTGTAGTAAAACCGATCAAACAAGTTCAGAGGTAAAAAAAGCTCTTGCAAAACATAGTTCTTCTTTGTTGAAAGATAAAGACAAAAGCACTGCTGATTCAACTGGGGAGATTGATGGAAAGGAAAAGGCTCAAAAGAAAAGTGCATTGCTTCCTGTGAAAGGACTTGTGAGTAATGCTGACAATGATGTAAAGGAACTGTCAGCTGTCAAGAAAAACGACAACCACTTGTCTTTAGTCAGCAACAGTCCTTCTGAAAATCACTCGGAAATGGATGCTAAAAACATTTCACTTCTGTCTAGTGGGAGAGCATGTAATGGTAAAATCAGTAGGCCTGTGACTCCTGATGTAGATGGCGGTAGCTGTAAAAATTCAAAGGATGAACTCTTGTCCTCAGAGAAAGATATGTCACCAAGAGTGTCATTGATATCGTTAGAACATAGCTTGTCACCTAAAAGTAGAAAGGATTCAATTTCTCGTGAACTGAGGACAGAAAATGAGACTGAAGTGAAAGACGTGCAACATGTCACAGAGAGCAAAACTGTACCGAACACCCAGAGATCAGAGGGTGCAAATTTGGATTCAACCGAAGCTGATGTTGTACCTGAAACCCAAGAGCTCCCAGCATCAGTCCATGTTCCTAGGATTCTCATCTCCCATGTGGCTGACAGATCCCCAGCAGATAGTACTGAGCCACCATGGAGCTTACACTCAATTTCTCAGTCACAAGGAATTGATCCAAGGCAAATTCAGCCTGGCTTCTCATCAAAACCTTCTCAACCAGGGCTTCAACCCTTGAACCCATTACAGATACCTGCATACCCGGCTTACTCTGGCCAGGCATTTCCGACTGCACCGGCATCAGGCCAGAGCTACTCAGGGTCGGCCGGAGGTGGTGGGACCTCTTCCTACTACTCCTCGTACCCGTTCTGCTGGCAGTGGCCGGCCCCTGCCACCTCGGCAGATGCACTGACCAGCCCTCTCAACCTGTGCACCAGCAAACGGTCTCCAAACAACTACTCCCCGATCACGCCCACTTCGCCAGTGTCCCCGTTTGACCCTGTTCCACAGCCACCTTCTAGTAGTGGCTTAATGCCAGCTAAACTGATGTCGCCACCTCTGAAGAAAGTCAAGCCTTTGTGGTACCCATGGCTGTCAGTGGATAAGAGTAGTGCTGCTGAGAAGGGAGTGAGCTCAGAAATGAGTAAATCTGTTGTGGCCTCTAGTCAGGTGGCCAATCCTAAACACATGCCGAAATCTCACTCTGTGAATACCCCTGTGCATAAAGTCCAACACAGCTCCCCACACAGGATTGAAAATTTACTCTCAGATTCACCATCAAAACCATCTCTGAAAGTCAATAAAGCCTCCTTTTCAAGTTGTAAGACGGTCTCTCAATTGGTCGGAACAGTAATAGAGTCTGCGTACCCGCCAAGAAAAGGAAATGGTGGTGGGTCTGTATCGTCCAAGGAGAAGGTGTCGTCTTACACTTCGGGGGAGTTCTCCCTAAACCATGTGCCTTTGAAGGCAGCTGTGCCATCACCTCTTTCAAAACCAGTGATGGAGCAACCTCAGTTTCCAGGTTCTCTACCTGCTACTGGTCACCAGGGGACACGTCAAGGGGAGCGCAGTTGGAGCAACCACATGCCACAGACCGCCACATATAACGTTCTAGCTCCTCGCCATCAACAACATCCAAGTTTTGTTTCGCCATCTTATGGAAAGCAGAATGGTGTTTGTGCAGCTGCAGTCAGCACCACACTGAGCTCAAATAGACATCCTCATCAATCTTACAGCAATGACCTCAGGGCAAGCCCAGGGAGCACAGCACCAGCTCCCCGTCCTCGACACCACCATGAGGATAAACGTATCAGGACCATGTTGGAGAATGAAAAAATCCTCCGCGGTCAATTTGGGCTTGGGTCACCTCATGTGCCCCCCTCCTCTTCCTCTCTCTCTCCTAATTCTGCCAGCCAGAGAGAACGGCCAAGCCTTACTGATCTGGTGGTAACCAAACTCATCAAAGGCAATGAACCAGAGTACAATCAGAATGAGCCATTTGAAGCCAGTCGAGGGAAGAAACGAAAGACAACAGGAAATCGAACAGGGGGCTCACAGTCTTCAAGCAGTGGTGGAGATGGTCCGTCCCTTCCAGCATCATCGGAGGGACGTCGTCGGGGGAACTCAAAGAGCCGAGGCGAACGAGACGAGAATGGGGAGCTGGAGAACAGAAAGATATCATCTGTCCCGAGTGATGGGGAGCGAACTCTCTGTCCTGTGAAGCCGCCCCCGAGAAGAGCCGGAGTAGAGAACAGTATGACGGCACTGGGCCTCAACTCTGTTCAGCCACCATCAGCCTACTGCAGTGTGATGGAAGACTTGCCAGACAAGCCCATGTAAGTAAACCCACAGTAGTGCACACAGCTAGGGCAATCACTTTGAAGACAAATGGGTTATCTTTCATTTTTAGCACTTCTTTGGGACTCGCAAAAGTTTGAAGGTTAAATTCTAACTTTGTCTCCCCTGAATTCTTTCCAACAAGCACATACTTTTACTTATCCAATCTTCTTCTTCTCTTTTTCTCTGAACATTACTGTTTCACTGTAAAAAAAAAAGTTATCAAAATGATTCAGTTTTCTATGGTTCCTTGGTTGTTTTGTTTACAGTGAAGTGGTCAGTTTGGCTGGTCCCTTATTTTTTTTTTGTCATGAAAGTTTCATTGCCATTTAAAGTATACTTTTGCTGTTTTTCTTGGGTGCCGTTTTCCATGAAATTTCGGAACTCTGGCTCTGTTCCAGGTTTTTCATGTATGTGTTTACATTTGAATTGTATCTCAACTTTCATTTTTTTACGCAGTATCTTTTTTTACCTTAATAATTAAGTCCTTTAAATCCAGTCGTATCTGTCTGATGCTTTGAAGTTATAGCCTGTCACAAATTAATGGTTTCATAAGTGAACAGTGAAAAAAAAAAAATTCTTTTATCAGCCTAAAGTTTTCTTAGAATGAAAGTAATTGCAATTGTAATGAAGAGAATTTAGTGATAATAGTTTGAAGATTCCATTGTTATTGTTGTTGCTGTCCTTGTTATCGTTTGTAGTCTTTGTATTTTTGGGGATTTCCAACATTTATTTTCATAATGTTGGTTTCATGAAGATTTACAACGTAGTCATATATTCATATTTTTTTATTTTTAATATTCCGAGTCCCATGGAAACCAATCAGTTTTGCATGTTTTGTCCATTCTTAGGGAACTTGGGGGCAGAGTGTTAAAGGTGGACTCAAGACGGGTGAGGGCCCTCTCTTTTGTAGAGTCCTGTGTATATTTTTTTATATATAGTGGTACTGGCTGCCCGACTGCTTATCATCTTGCTGTGGGTTTTCGAACTTCATACTACATTTTGCTTCTGAGCATGTCCCCCAACCACCCCACCATCCTCCCTCAATTGTCTCTTTCGCCTTTCAAAGGTCCAAATAAGATATTGTAAGCTTTCAGGCATTTATTATTCAATGATCACCTTTTGCAAAATATTTTGTGTCCCTATGTAAAAAGTGAGAGTACGAAAATGTTCATTAAGCTAATGAAAGAGTAAAATAAATGTGTGTTACGCAGTGTGCGTTTGGACCATTCAAAAAAACAACCTAATTTAGAACCTATTCTCCTGTCCAAAGATCACCAGAGATAAGGACCTGTCTTTACGTTGTTTCCAGAAACACTGGTAATGGGCTGGAAATGCGTACCTTTTTACCAACTGAAGAGATTTATAAACATTGGCTAGCTTTTGATTGTGGAGCTGGCTGCTCTTTCATTAAGCAGTAAAGATGGAAAAAATAGTGCAAAGTTTTTCAGAATATGCCACACATAACCTGTTGATGTTTTGTGGGAGAGAGGTTCACTTCACTAATTTGTTTGCTTACATTGCCCTGGAATTTGTTGCTGGGTTTGGAGAACCTCTGCACCTTTGGTTCATTTTTTGTTATCATTCCTTTAATTTTTCCCACGATAATTTTTTAAAAATAATAGGAAGGCTAACATTTTTGTTCTTTCTGCATTTGAGCAGTTTCTTATAACACTGGTTTTTTTTCACAAGGCATTATAACAGTTGTTGAGGACAAGAAAGCTGTTGTTTAGGAAGAGCTGTAGAAATCATCACCTTTAAGATCATATGTGTTTAGGTCAAGTGGCAATTTTTTTTTCATATATTTCTGATTTTGTTTGCTTGCTTTGTACATTCATAACCAGTTTGCAGCTCGTTTCACATTTTCAGTAGCTCAATGCATAGTTTTATATTTCTTCCATTGTGCATGTTGCTACTCTTACACTTTTGAAATTTGCAGAAAAGGTTGAACAATGTTTTAAAATTGTAACATAATGTTTTAAAATAAAGAAGCAACAAAGAAAATGGATGTACGATAGGTTGTATCAGGCTGTACCGATATCTCTATCGGTCTTATCAAGATGCACTGGACTTTCAAAGTTTGAAAAATTACATCAATGTTGCCTTTTTAAAAAAAATGTGGAATTTAAAAGTCTCGTGATAGTGAAATATTTTCTGGTCATTTCGTAAGTTTCTATGTGTTCATAGAATTTTTTCTCTAAGCTTAGCACTCAGTTTCTTTAAGAAACTACTGCCTGTGTTGTAGTGTCCTTTTACTTGTCCACCTTGGGTGTTTCTGTTTCTGATTTACATAATAGTCAATTACATTTTCCCTTATGATAAATAGATTTTAGTTTTCTTAAAAATTGCTAATGTAAGAAAATATCTAATACGAGTTTAAAAAACCCCAATAACATTTAGATTGTTGTTAGTCAGAAGTTCTTATATTGACTGTTTGTCTGTTAGGAATACTTAAGATGCATTCAATTTTTTCCATTAAGAACTGTTGAGATCTGAAGTGAATCATATTCCCGGAGACCCCCCCACATAGTATGCTGTGTCTTCTGTCCAAGTCTGTATTTTGGCGTTGTGCTTTTCGCCATATTGGTTCATGTGTCACATTGCTTTGTAAGGGTCACATCCCTGCTAACAGCACATTATGGGGGTGGGGGGGAATTGAAGGGAAACTTTTACTGAAAGAGTGTTGCTTCATTTCTTTTTTCCAATTATAGAATAATAATTGAAACTCTTGTACAAGTTGAATGTAGAAAGTGGGTGGTTTTAGGGCACCGTCGTACTTCATTTCTTTTCCTGTATTGTTTAGATCTTATTGGGTGGTTGGAGGGCGCCACTGGTAGGTCCTGCTTTTAATTTTTCTCTTACTTTTTGGGTGATTGACGGGAGTTCTGTTTTGGTTTGCTCCTTCTTTCCTATCAAACTATCATCCTCATCTCTCCGTCTTCTTTTTTGTGTACGTTACTCTCTAGTAATACATCTAAACTTTGGCAGCCATATGACCCATAATTGTGTCGCAAGTGCCATCAAACTCTCACCAAAACTGTAGAAAACTGTATGTGTGCCTGTTAAGATATTGTTCGCGTTTGGAGGGCGCAACTGTTCGTTCTTCTGTTCTCTCCCTCTGGTTGTTCCTTTTTGTCTGTTTGCTTTTTTTCCCTGCACTAAATGATCATTTTTGTAGCTGTGTGCTTTTCTTCGCTCAAACCCTTTGAAGGTAACCGAAATGTCTGCAAACTAAATTTTCTTCAAGAGCTCAGTGTGTTTCACTAAACCAGAGGATCAACAAATATAGTTCTTGCACAAACTGAATGCTTTTTATCCATTTTTAATTTAATATATATGTAACATGTGGTTGGGGGCGCGCCGTTGGTAGATTCTACTTTTTTACTTCCCTCAATTGGTTTTGTCTGTCTGTCTTACTTTTTCCCAGCACTAAGTGACCATTATTGTGTCAAGCGATGTGCTTATCCATCCTCACACAAACAATTTATTTTTGTGTGGGAAGGAGGAAACACCATTTGGCTTTGTAAGTTTTTAAGCATATGACACTACAAAAATTGAAACTTTGATGTCATTCTCGAATCTATTTTGCTTCTTTTTATGTCTCAAAATCAGTCGTTGCAGAAAAACTGCTTGGAATGTTTGAAAAACTAACCCCCCCCCCCAGCATATTTTGAATTGCTTTTTCTGTCAGGAACCATTTCTCTTTTACTTTTCTTAGTAGACGTCATTTAGGATGTTATCACATGTTGGCTGTCTGTAATAACTGAGAAGTGCATAGATTGCATCATAATGTAATTTGATTAATGGTTGAATGATGATAAGCTTGTGCAACAATCGCCCACCACACACAAACACACACATGCACATGCGCTAGATTCAGCTTGATTTGAGTTTCTGTTTTGATTATAATTATTGCTTGCTGTTCAAAACTGAGTTTTGATTCAGGAGATGTTTGGGTGATATGTGCTGCACCATAGCTCTGCATAACTTCTATGAATGAGTGGAAAAGGGTTTTCCCTGTTGACTTTTGATTTTGACAGCTCGGCCAAATTCTTAGTGTGCACATTTCAAGTCAGTAGTTTTTCACATACTCAGAGTTTGTCCACAGTTGTTTCATTTGCTTTTTTAGCTGATTAGTGCTGTCTTTTTTATTACTTTTTCCCTTAGTCTCATTATCTTTGTCTTCTGTTACTTTATTCTACTTGCCCTTCTCAAAATTCATTACACTTTTTAAACCTATTTTCATATAATGGGGAAATGAAAATTCTGATTTCCAAACGACAATTTCTGCCCAAGCTTTGCCTATCATGCTGGAAGATTTCAGGCTAAGTCTTAAATAATAACAAAGGCTATCAGACTGAAGTGTCAGTGTTGCTAAAGGGGTACTGCAAGAATGTTGAAGGGCTCAAGTGCTTACTTCTATTCCCAGACAGAAATTTAAGCATGTGCTTTTTTAAAAATACAGCTCTTCCCAGACTAAATAAGAGTAGACTTTACATTTTTGTCAGTAGGATTCAAAATTACAGTGTTAAATGGTAGCAGTAAATGAGCTGGCCTTGCCTTTTTGTTTTTATGTATTGTCTTAACCATTGACTCCAACCGCTTTGCTGGCCTTTCATTTTGCGTGTGTGTTTGTGTGTTTCGGCCATTAGAACATAAAATGGTAAGAGAAGCTAAATAGTATAACAGGAAAAGAGTGCTCAAACTGATGCAATAAGAGGCTGCCCAAATTATGGACAGTAGAGCTTTACAATTCCTAAGAAACTGCTTACTATAATGGAGTATGAAAAGACTTTGATGGGCAGAAACTGAATAATAGAATGTGAATAAAAGTGCAGAGACTCTAAAGCAGAATGTGAAATAAAATGTCGCTTATTTGTCATTTTTGTGTTTATTTCAGCTATCCGAGCTTGAACCGTTTCCCCCATGCTGTCACATCAATGGGATCCGTGCATGGCGGTCACAGTCTCTCCGTGATACAACAATCTTAGCCTCGCAACAAGCTGACGGGAAGCCACTGTGGGACAGAGTGCAACATGAACCACAAATGCGCTTTCTACTGTCAGCTGACCATCCCGTAGCGGTTTCCCCTTGTGTGGCACCTCCCTCACGGCACAATGTCGTGAGATGGCTAAAGCAGAAAATGGCAAGCGTGAAGCAGGCACGGAATTCTTTATCGTCGAGCACAAAACTAAAGGCTGACAGCAAGGCTTATAAACAGAACTCAGGGACCAGTTCTAAAGAAAAAGATAAAAGGAAAGCAGTGACGTTTTCACAACTCAACTTTACTGTAGATCGTTTAGAGGATGAGGAGCTGGATTCCAATACCTCCAAAATAGCTTTAGATACATCCGGGCTTTCAGATTCAATACTGGATGATAGTTCTACTCTAGTGGACACTGACCTTGATTTGAGTTGCACACCGGTGGGGCCAACTCCGGCCCCAGTGAACACATCAAAATCTGACTGCGGAAGTCAAACAAAGACTTCCGCTACCACCTCAACTCCTGTCTCTTCTCACAAAAGAAAGCTGCGTTTCAGCACTGAGAGCACTGCTAGTGGTTCGAGTGATGGTGCCATGTCACCCCCAGACCATTCTCTGGATGAACATTCGAAAAACGTGAAGAAGGCACGCGCTGCAGAGTCTTCCTCTGAAAGTCGTGCTCCGGTGAGCTGCAGCACACCGGTGAGACGAGAGTCTCATGATATGTTTGACCCCTCCTGCACTCCCATCGTGTCTCCTCCCTCCGGGAAACCAGGGCAGGGAGAGCCCACGGACAGCAACACCACTCCTGTTGTCAGGCGAATTTCTACCAACACGGAAAATGTTCTGCGGAGGAATGTTCTGCAGTCTCAAACACAGGTATAGGAACTTCTCTGTCTGTTGTTCAGCTTATGAATATTGAATGTTTGCTTTTTAACTCTAAATGGTTCGGGATGGGGGTGTGGGACAAATATTCTTGGGAGGGATGAGAAGGATGTAATTGGGAATTGACTAAATATACGTAGGTAAATAATGATTTGTGGGTGGCTGATTGGTGCTTTGGTGTGGTTTGCTCATTCTTTCCTTTAAACATACATGGTCCTGATCTCCTCCTTTTCTTTATGTTACTCATGAGTAACACCTCTAGTCTTCAACATGTATATGGCCTATCTGTGTTGCAAGTGCTTTAAAAACTAAAGAATGAGTGAAGTAGTGATTATTCTGTCCCTTTGTTGACTCTGGGGTGGATGAGGCACAGAAAGGGTAAGAGTCGCTTTGTATTGGATACTTGTCAACCATCTTGGAGGTGATATTCAGTCAGCTTCAGCAGATTTTGGTTCGAGTTCTGTATTCGTTGTGATAGTTAGTTGTGACGAGGTCTATAAAGGTGTATTCTTGCACTGTGAACAGTTATGTCTCTGAGTGGTGTATTATTATTATTTTATTTTTGTTATAATAATTATTTTATTATTATATTATTTCACTTTTTGAGAATAAAATGTGTATATCTCTCAGCTACCTATGGTATTGTGGTCCATACATATCAGATTGTGAGATGGGCTTTGACACATGTATTTCTTCCCCTCTCTAGACAAATGTCCCTGCCCTTCTATATTTTTTAGAAGCTCTTTATGGTGACAAAATGTTCTGCCACAGTTTCTTTTATCATTCCCAACTGTCTTGCCGAGAGCAAACAAAAAGAATGGGCAACTCCTCTTTCACTCTGGAAAGCAAAGGTGTCAAATGGAATTAAACATTTTTCTTTCGAGAACTACTTTTCATGGCTTACTTTTAATACATTTTGCTAGTTTCGTTTGTTGACATATAATATTTCTCAGATTTTTTTCATACGCTTTTTTGTATTGTAAAAATTGCGGTGTTTTAATACTTTATATGCAGTATTTATTTTGATTATTTGATTTATTTATATTTTGTTTCTTTTCTTTTCCTGTGATAGCGGCAGTTTTCAGTCTTGGGCTTCACAGCTGCAGAAAATTCCCAGATAGAAGGACCTACACCTAAGAACACTTTTGGCTTCAAAGTAGCTCAGGACCACCTTCAGAACTCAAAAGCATTGCATAAGGTAGGTTTGTATTTTGTCAAAAACCAAATCATTGCTAAAATGTTGTGATTGTACACGTGCTAACAGTACTTCAGTAGCAGTTTACAATGGTGAAAATTATTTTTTTTCTGTTTGCTTAATTACTTTTTTTGTAAGTTATCACCTGTTGACCAGTATATTAGTTATGTGAAAATATGCCTGCCTAAAAGTATTTGTCTAGATTTTAGGTTTTTGTGTTGTACAGAGTGTGATCAGTAAAGTGGTGGGTGGTTGGCAGGTGTTCTAGTGTGGTCGGCTCCTTTTTTCCTATCAAACATCTGTCATCCTTGTCACTATTCTTTTTTTGTGTTTGTTACTCTCTTGTAATATCTCTCATCTTCAGCATTTATGTAACATAATTGTTTTGCAAGTGCCATAAAACTCCTGTTAAAACAAAAATCAGTGAAGTGAGTCAACTGTCTCCACCCCTCCCCCCCCCCCCCCCCCCCCCCTTGCAGCACCAGTATGTGACTGCACTGAGCATGGAACTGCACATTGAGACCAGGGGAGACCTCCGGCCTGACCCAGAGTTTGACCTCATCCAGTCGCTCTTCTACTCTGTCTTTGACGACATCCCCGACAGTAAAGGAAAGCGGAACATTGTAGGAGTGCTAGTCGTGGACCCAGATTCCTGGCAGGCCGTTACTGATCGTAGTGCGAAGGGCATGACTACTCAGAAATCAGATCATTCGGGCGCATCCGACAATAGCAGATTGGACGATGCAGGGGTCGGGTTTTCTGCCGCACCATATTCCTCATCCGTGCCCACTTGTGGTGGCGGCAAGGGTCAAGGAATGTCTGCCGAAACATTGGCTGCTGAAATCAAAGATACTGCAGCGTCTTCATCACTGAAACCAGCAACGCCGTCATCTCCCACGCCCACTACGTCGAAAGCTCGGCCTGTGACCCCGACAAAGGGCAAAGGTCGGGGGAAGGGGAGGGGTTCAAGTTCTCGTTCAGTGTCTCCGGCGGGCCCAAGAAGAGGCCAGAGTAATGGTCCTAGTGCAGCCCTGCTGGAGAAGTGTGCTGTGGAGGGCGTTGAGGTGACGTACGTCCAGGACGAGATGGATCTCATACACACCTTTGTGGAACTGATGGCTCGGTGAGCGTCTAGATCTTTTTTCACATTGCTGAGCTTATAGGATGGGTTTTTAATATTTGTCCTTTAAAAGAAATAATTGGCCTTTTTAGAAATCCTAAACAAACTATTAAAAACTCTTCATAGGATGTTATTTTGTATTGGAGATTTACAAATACATGTATGGATATTTTCTGATTTGTTCATTTTTCTCCCTCTTTCTTTAGTGATCAATATTTGTTTTTGAGGAAATTAAGAAAAACTTTCATTTACTTTCAACTATTTTTGTTGTTGTTTGTTGCGCTAGCACAATAAGAAATTGTCAAAAGCAGAGCTTCAGTATCGGAAGGTGTTAAAGTGTACTTTTACGTGAAAGCTGTTAATGAAAATCAATTGATGATGCATTAGTCTTTTTTGAGTCCTCACATACAGTGGCTTTGTTTGAATAAAAACCAGCCTGTTTTATTAATTCTTTTGCTTTTATGTGAATATTTATGTTGTGGGTTTCATATTTTTGAAAAATATATTATTAAGTTGTGATATAAACCATGCATTTAACTCACTTTACCCCTTTCCTCCCTCCTTCCGCCCAGCTTTGACCCCGACATCCTGGTGGGCTTTGAGGTGCAGATGCTGTCTTGGGGCTACTTGCTACAGCGGTCAGCTCAGCTAGGTGTGGACCTCTGTTCCCGTTTGGCTCGGGTGCCAGGTCAGTTCTGCTTCAGGTTTATGACTTTTGTTTGGGGGCTGTCCTCAAGCTCAGTTGGTATCATGCAGGACGGGGGAGATGAGCTGGAGTAGCATTATATGTAAACTGTGGAGGATGATCCAACATGAGGGTGCTCTGTCTTCATGGCCACAGTAGTAAGCTGATGATTATATCTCTGCTCTGGAGCATATCTAGGAAGTCAAGGGAGGGAAGTAGTACTTGGGCAATCTACTTCCTCTATGTCTACTGCCCAGGCAAAGCTTTTTGTTGTAGTGTAATGTATACTTTGACTGTACGTATGCACCTGTGTAAATCAATTTTGGCTTAGCATATAATATAGATGTTTCTTTGGAGGGTTTCTTGTTTATTTTTTTTCTCCCCATTTATGATGTGCAGCCAACATTCATAGGTACAATGTTCTCTTTTATGTATTTATGAGTGTTGGATTGTATTCTTTATCTTTTCCGTACCATCTTCACCATGGAAGAGGACTAACAATTACACATTTTTTTCTTCTTTTGGTGTCAGATGCTAAAGATGACAACCGTTACAGTGCAGAGAAGGATGAATGGGGCGCAGACCACATGTCTGAGATTCACATCGCTGGCCGCGTGGTGCTTAACCTGTGGCGGATCTTGAGGCATGAGGCAAGTTGCTGGCTGCAGTAAAAGTAACCAGTGTTCATCATCATTGTCTTTTTCTTCATCATTATCATTGTAGAAAAAGCAAAGTAGGGAGGAAGTAATTTTCAGATTGTAAATATTAATAAAAAGGTTTCATTACTTCATGTGGCTTGGGTTGTTTTCATTAGTATGTTCCTTCTTTTCCTGTTTTGTAGAAACAATTCTTTTTAACTCACTCACTACCGCCCCCACAGCTCGTGGGTAAAGTAGCTCCGACGTTGTTATACCACACCCGCAACCCTCATGGTTGCGCTCTTTGGAATTTTGTTCTCACATTTGCGGTACTGGTTCGTCTTTTTCATAGCCCATTCAATTATCTTTCATTAGAAAGAAACGAAACTGAAATCGGAGGAGCGCAAGTTGAGTTATTGACTTTTACGACAACCGCCCAGCGAACGGAATTTACCATTATGTTTCACACAATGGCAGATCGCTTGTCTTTGACAGTGTTCGAACCTTTTACAACAAAAGTGACTCAGAAACCAATGAATTGGTCGAAGATTGCTATGACGAACTGGGTGGGGAAATTTGATAAGAAAAGTAAGGTTTAGTAGGGCCTCCAAAACCTAAATCTAGGGTTGCAGTAGTGGGGAAGGGCATGAGTAAGAAAGGCAAAGGGAAAGGAGTTTTTGATCAAATTTGAAAATTTGTGGAAAAAAGTAACAATGAAACAAAGCTGTAATTTCATCAGGGCAATCTTTATGTTCTGAAACAATGTTCCAAATTTCAAGTCTCTATGTTAATTAGCAAAAGCACATTGATTTAAAAAATTACCCTTAAAATGGCTGGTAGTGAGTGAGTTAATGGGGATGTGGCTACCACCCCAAAGCCCATCAGTTCTTTTTCCTGGCTTTGGACTGGCTGAAAGTTTTACTGGGAGATTTGCTGGTGGAGTTTTTAACCTGTGTTGCTGTTTAATACTTAAAGGCTATTTTTTGATGAAATTTGTAGAGTTCTTGGAAGTATGGAATATTCTGTATTGCTGTCTCTTGGGTGAACATGTTTTTTTTTCTCTCCTCTGACAGTCCTGTTAGTTACCGAAATTTTACTAAAACTATTTTTGCGTCGCTTGTAATGTGATCATCATCATTGCCTTTCTCACCCTGCTCCAGGGTATAAACCACGGACAAACACTTCCCATTTGACTCCATCCTGGGCTAGCCTCTGGATGTTATTCCATAGTAATGTGAGCACTTTAATGCTTTTCCACTTTGGAACAAAAGTATGGTTCAACATAAGGTGTCTCAGCTTGCTACTGAAGCTTTGTTTTGCCATTAAAAAGGTTAGAATGGAAGTGAATGATATATATGGCCAAGTACTCTGCATTCTAAAGCCCTCAAGATGCAGGGGACCTTTGAGTTTGCCTAATGAAGAGAATTTGGAGACCATTATATCATCAGATGGGAGATGTCACACCGAAATTAAAAGCTGCATTTGCCAAGCAAAAGCGACCTTCCTCAAAAAGAAACAGATACTCGCAAACATCAATCTGTCACTGGAAACTAGAAAAAGAGTACTGAAAAGTTACTTCGAGCCGATCCTATTAATACGGGTGCGAAGCATGGACAGTCAATAAACAGCTGGAAAGAACAACTGTGGCGACAGAGTTGTGGTTCATAAGACGCATGCTACGTATCCCATGGACAGCTAGAAAAACAAATGAAGAAGTTTTGGTTGAAGCAGATTACTTATGACAAATATAAGAAAGTGACTGGCAAATTTCTTTGGACACACAATGCGGAAAGAAGCATTGGAGAATATTGTAACAACAGGCAAGTTTGATGGAAAGAGAGACAGAGGCGGACAGAGGGAAAAGATACTGGACAAGATGACAACATAGCTAGGAGCAGCAAGAACAACAGACACCATTGCTGCAATGCAAGACAGAGTGAAGTGGAGGTCCATGATCGCCCATGCCAGTCTGCAAGGCACCAGATGATGATGAATGAAGAGAATATTGTAATAAGGTGGATGGTCACTTCTGTCTTCCCTAGAGCCAGACACATTTACCTATTACAACGATAAAAAGCATCATTTTTCTTTGCAGGTGGTTGGTTGGCACTGAGTGTCATGTGATCTCCTTTTATTTCTGTTCAGTTCTTTTTTGGTCCATATCTGTTCATTACAAATTGTGGAAGTTGATCTGCTTGCTCGCCGTACACTGTGACTCATCGTAAATATTGTCTCTTTTGCAGGTTACTTTGAACACATACACGTTTGAGAATGTGGCCTTCCATGTACTCCACCAACGCATTCCGCTGTTTTCATTCCGGTCCCTGAGCAAGTGGTACAACCACAAGACTCACTTGCACAGGTGGGGGAATATTAATTTTAGAGGGGGGGGAGGGCTGCAAGATGTTGTGTAAAGAGGCTTAAACTTTTTTACTGGAGAAAATTGCGATTTGAGTTGAAGAAGAGTTTTAATTTATGTCATCCTCTTGGCTTTTTTTTGAGTTGTAGTGTGTTAAGTATTGCTTTAAAATAAGAAGTGCTTTTACTTGGTGGGATGCTATTTGAAGAGAGGGTGAGGTTAGATTTTTCTTTCCTTTTTTGGGTGCTGTTTTGGTTTCTAGGATGTCCTGTTGCTTTGCAGCATAGTACATGTTTTGGTATTTAAAATAAATTCAAGTATGAGGTTAAGGATTAGTTTTGACCAATTGAACGTATGTGAAAGTGTTTTTGTTGAATTTTTTAAACGTTTCTGTGTGGATTTTACTAAAAAAGACATTGATGAAAGACACAAACAATGTCAGTTTTCAGTTTCCAAGGACTCTCAGATATGGAAATTACCAAACTTTGGTGGTCTCGCTAATTTCACCTCTGAAACCAGGTGACACTGACCTCCTTCAATCGCAAACATTTCAACTTCTATTCAACATAGAGGGATATTTTTTTTTCACTAAAAGCAAGGCAAATGAACAGGCTTTAAGATGATACCAATAACCCGTAATACCCTAAAATTGACAAGCGCCTGATTCCACCATGTCGCGACACATTTGGTCAGTTTTCCACCTTTTGCTCAGTGCTGTGGTCTTAAATTAAATTTCTAGGAACGGTAATATTCTATTTTGTTGAAGTTGCCTTCATCTGTAATGATAATTTGGAAGATGTGATTGAGTAATATGTTGTTCCTATTGTATTTGAGGCGGTATTCTGGACTTTCGGCGTGCTGTTCATTCTGTGAAATAGAAGCAGTCTGTTCATGTTTTTAAAAATTTGTCTTGTATTTTAGTGGATGGCTTGATGGAGGAACTTGTGGGTTCTTAGTTTCACTCCTCCTTTTTTCCCCTCTGTCTATTTTTGCTTTTTCTCCAGCATGAAATGACTGCTGTCTTGTCAATGTGCTTCTCCTCTCTCAAACTGAGTTAAATTTAATTAGGTGTGTCTGAAGAATATGTTCTTGAGAGACTTTCTGAAGCAAGTGTTTATGGTTTTGTGTATTCAACCTAGATGGCGAGTGTTTGAGCACTACGTGAGGCGAGTGAAAGGTCAGCTGGAGATCATTGACCAACTTGACCTTATCGGGAAGACCAGCGAGTTTGCTCGTGTTTTTGGCATTGAGTTCTACGATGTCTTAGCAAGAGGCACACAGGTGAGACATTTTAGTTGCTGATTCTGTTTAAAAGTTCTGTATACAGGTTGCAATAAATGTTGCTTCATTTACTAGCTTCATGATCAAGCACATGGGTGCAAGTTAAATTTTTTTTGGGATTTATGTTGATTATTATTGTTCCTCAATATCTTGAGCTGATGGTGGTGGAGGTGGTGGGTTTGGAGGAAGGGATGTATCACCCTGAAAGTCAATCTATGATTCACATTTGTTTGTTTTGTTTTGTTTTTCTGTTGAATAATAATAATAAAAAAGAATATTCTCTCTCTTTTGTCGAAGTATGGTTGTCGTTATGCAGGCTTATTGCCAACTCCGCAGGCCAACTTGTAAATTTTCTGTCTTTAGATCCGAGTGGAGTCCATGATGCTACGTCTGGCCAAGCCCATGAACTACGTGCCGGTGTCTCCCAGCGTGACGCAGCGAGCCCGCCAGAAGGCGGCGGAGTGCATCCCCCTGACGCTGGAGCCAGAGTCCAAGTACTACACCAGCCCCGTAGTGGTTCTGGACTTCCAGTCGCTCTACCCGTCCATCATGATCGCCTACAACTACTGCTTTTCCACCTGCCTGGGCCGCCTCGACCTGCTGGAGAAGGCCCAGTGAGTATTGGCGAGGACGCTTTATCTCTTCTTGGTTTAGTTTCCAATGAAGATTATGTTCTCTATTTACTCTTGGAATTGACCAAGAGGGCCACCCAATATTTAAAAAAAAAAGGATTATCAATATTTGGGGTGAAATTCTTTTTGTGTGTAATATGAAATGTAGGTACTTTTTTTTGTCAGCTGTCAACTCTGAAGTTGCTCTTAGTGTAATTGTCATGTGTAGAAGGAGAAAAATCACTGAATGACATACTTCTCACAAACGGGAGAATTGTGTTTCGATGTCGTACTATTAGCTGAAAGCATCATTATTCCTTCTGCTTTCAATGCCTGAGTGTTTTTTTTTAATGACTTGTATTTCTTTAATCGAGTCTGGAAAATGGATGTGCCAACCTTCCGCCATGTATGAATGTTGTTTCCTGTTTGTGAACATAACTTGGAAGACTGATGGGTTTTTCAATTGTCTTTTTTCAGTGAAGGCCCATTTGAATTTGGTTGCACATCACTGAAACTGACTCCATCCGTGCTCAAGGTAGGAATCTCTTCTTTTGTCAAGTTAATCAAACAAGTCTTTCACATCCAGTTGAACCTGTTCAAGACAACCATCAGTGTTGTAGTGGAGAAAAGTGGTGTTAGACAGGTGGTCCTCCTCGAGAGTATCATTATAATAAAGAAAAACCACAAGGAGGATGGGGGGGGGGGGAGTGGTCCTTTGCACAGGTGATTGTCTAGGACAGGCGGTTGTTTAAGCAGATTCGACTGAACTTGAAATTACTTTGTATAGAGCTTTTCGTTTGTGGTCATTATTTTCAGAAAGAATGTTGTTCCTTACGTGTACGAATTTGTTTTGCTTACAGAATGATCATGCTGCCAACATGGTCTTATTACATAGTAGAGATATGCGATCAATGTAAAGAGCTCGGAGCTTATGCTAGTATGGTATAGAGCTCTATATAAGTCCTATTTATTATTATTATTATTTTTATTATTATTACTATATTATTATGATGAGCGATGTGATGCTATTACAATTTGTTTGATGGTGATGGCGCTGTTGTCAATTAGGACTTTGCATAAGCAAGTATTTGGGTTGAATGAATTGTTATTCTAGCATCTGCGTTTGTCGCGGCCGCGATTTTTGGCATTTTTTGGCCCGCGAATCGCGGCCGCGATTTTTGCATTTTTCCGACAGAAAACCACCAGCGGGAAAAAAAATATTTTAAAAACAACAACAAAAACTGGGAATAATATTCGTTAAAAAAAACAACAGAAACCAAACCTCTTTATATTTAGAAAGAAAGTTTATTTTCACTTTCGCTTCACTTCGTCTTTTTCTCACTTTTTAAAATTACGTTGATTTGTAATTTTCATGTGAAGAACATAAGTAGGCTACATTACATACTATTTATATTGCTGTTTCTCTTTCTTGTTTCCCTCGTTATTGTGTTTTTTCTTTGTTGGCGTGTTCATTTTTTTTCTCGTTATTGTTCTGATTTGTTGTTTTTCCATTTTTTGTTTGTTTATATAGCGTAATGTTCGTCTTACCTTTTTTAAAAATGTGTTATAGAACTTTATGTTACAGCGTGTCTCCACCAAAAAGGAATACTGACACTGGCAGGCCCCTTGTTTGTGATTCCATGATCTACACGTTAGATCCTGTTTTTTTTCTTGAATTACGCGCATTAGGGTTAAAACGGCCAGTCTATGGATCTGGATGGGTTTACACACACCCTAATTTGTTAATTTTTGTGGTTCTTTATTTGCTGTTCTAATTTTGATTTCTTTCTGTTGTGAAACCTTTATTTTTCTCGTTTTTACACTCTGTGTGTGGGTAGTTGGCGGGTGCTCTGGTGTGGTTTGCTTCTTCTTTCCTATGAAACATCTATCGTCCTTATCTCCCCAGCTTCTTCTTTTTGTGTTTGTTACTCTCTTGTAATACCTCTAATCTTCTGGCGCTCATATGACCTTATGCAGTTGCGAGCGCCGTAAACCTCTACATGTACTAAAACTAAGCACTCTGTGTGGCTGCAAATGATATTCTGGATGCTTAAAACAGAGCACAAGAAATTCTGGTGGTTTAGATGAAATTATCTCTATCAACATATTGCTATACGTTGTCACAGAGTTGAAAGCTTGAAAATTATTGGCAACTTTTGCCATTTTTGTGGCAACTTTTGGACAAAAAAATGGCAACAAATGCAGATGCGAGGTTATTACTTAACTTTGTCTCCATTACAATAATCATATGTGAGGCAGCCTGGTGAAATCAGACGTTTGTCGGAAATTTTTTTTAACGGCTCAACACATTTCATTTAAAGAACACTTTTCTGTGTGGATTTTACTGAAAAATGTTGATTAAAGGCCTAAAAATCCTTTTCGCTAAGGATATAAGTCAACTTTGACGGCCATTTTCCGGCTCATTTTACCTCTGAAATCAGGCGACCCCCGCTCCTTCAATCGCCAATATCGTGACTTTTACCCAAGATAAATGGATATTTGTTTCATCAGAAGCAAGGCAAATGGGACAGGCTTTGAGATTATACCAATAACTCTTTATGCCCCAAAATTGACACACATTATATTACTTTGTACATTTTGTCTGTCATATCTTAATCTGATTGTGATTGAAGTAAGTTAATCGAATTATAGAGACTTTACAATCATTTTATTGCAGAAAGTCAAGGATCGCATCAATGTGTCCCCAAATGGTGTTGCCTTTGTGAAGCCTTCTGTGCGGAGAGGGGTTTTGCCAAAGTGAGTTGACATCAGAAAAAATTTAGTGATCTCTTTTATTGTTCAAATTTTCTGCACCTTTTCTAATGATTTATTCTATTGTTTTAGTGCTGCTTTCTTTTATTTGTGTACCTTGAGAATAGCAACTTCAGTATGTTCAGAAAGTTTGGGTTTTGTGCTTGTTATATGGTTTTGCCTATTCTGTGCTTTCTTTTAGAATTGACTGTAATATCGTCGGCCTTGTGATAAAACCGACTAACCACAGCGAGGTAAATTTTACAGGAGAAAGAAACAACTGTTTTATTTCAAAACAAAGGCGTCTAACGATAAATCAATGCTTTAAACACCTATAAAAACACTTTACCGAAAAACTGTAGACATTTTTTTTCCTTTAGATTGCTTTTAATGAAACCGCGTGGGTTAGATGGTTATGTCGCTCAAATTTTCCTGGATAAAACCAACCAACCCTGTATTTTGTGGGTTGACCGGTTTTATCAAGAAGCCGCTGCTGGGCTTGAGTTTGGTTGAGTGCAGCCAAGCCACACTTGATGGTAACGTATTTGATCAGTTGTTTCAATCGTCGAGGTCTTTTGTAGAAGGAGGAGGAGGGGGGGGGGGAGAGGAGGAGGAGGATACTCTCAGCTGCTGCCATAGCTACGGAGTCATTTCGGGCAAAAACAGCAGTCACAAAGTTGAAACTTTAATAGAAGTAGAAGAAGCAGAACACAGCAATGGGCACTGCGCTGAGGGTCAGAGGTGACGCAGCAAGAGTGGCATCACTTGATGAAATGATATAGCGTTATGTAAGTTAAGGTTTGATATAAAGATAAAGCATTATGTTATGACACTGAGAAAATAATCTACACAAAACACAAACGAAATGAACTTTCAAAGAAAGTCGAAAGATATTTCAGAAAGTAATGACTGCAGTAAACGCTGCAAATGAAAAAAAGAAGAAAAAGCACTTTAAAAAACAATGATCGTTGGTGGCAGACGGTGTGCTGGACAGGTCCCACATTTTTTTTTTCTGAGTGAGTTAGTAAAGAATGAAAAGCTACCGACTTCGTCCATTCAATTGCGATGGAAAAATGGTAAGGAGAATAGACAGTAGTCCGAATATGGGAAAATGCCTTCATAATTCGGTAACTTTCAAGTACAAAGACAAAGAAGAACACGTGGACAGAAAAAAATAGTTTCATATAAAACAAAATCCATAAAGATGCGTTTGAAATACCGGCATTGACTTGTCACAAGATAAACAGTTCTGCGGGAACAGTGGGGAGTTTTAGTCATTAATAACATTATCAGCAGCATTAAAACGATGAAAAAAGAGGGAACAATCAGATTTATATAACTCCCAAATGAAACCAACAAGAAATATTCCACAAATTTCCCTTTTGAAGAGCTCACACGGTTACCTGAGCGAATTCTGGACCATCAAACGAAGTCCGGAGACGAGTCGAAGCCGGGGCTAGTCAGAAACGTAACACGAGGCCCCTCATTGTTAGCGCCACAAAAACAGCCAACCCTCATTCCCTCCCTCGCAGGTGGGATAGTCGGAAACATCGGGCTAAAATCCAATGGGTGCTGGGTTATACGGTTTTATTTCTAATGTTTTAAAGACATTTTTAGACAAAATTTAGATCTGACTTTAAATGAGCATATGAAATGGACAATTTGCTATCGATAGGGCCAATAAAATTTTTTGGGACATTTTGTGGGTTAGTCGGTTTTATCACAAGGCCGACGATATATTTTTTTATCGCTGCCCCAGACTTATTTCGTCCAAAGTGAAGACTTGAGTACACTTTGGACAAAATAGTTCTGAGGCAACGATATGTAGATTGTTTCATGGCTTTGCCTATTTAGTTCTTCCTTTAAAATCTGACTTGTATTTCAAATGTTTGTTTTTTTCTGTGTATTTGGTCAGGATGGTGGAGGAGATCCTCAACACCAGAATCATGGTCAAGAAGTCAATGAAGTCGTGCAAAAATGACAAGGTGTGTTCACAGATAAATGTTGAGAGTCGACTTTGGCTGTGACTGTTGGCAAACTCTCTAGTTAGCGGGACGAGAATGCCACTGGAAGGTTCTACTTCTTTGCTCTCCCTTTGTCTTTTCTGTATGTCAATCTTGCTCTTTCCATGCAGCCAACGGTAATTATCTTCTCTTTGTGCTGCTTTTTACTTTTACTAGTGTAGTTAGCCTGGTTGGTAGCTTTTGATATCAGTGAGGACTGGCAACTGTTTTCCTCTCATGATTTTCTAATTAATTTGCTTTCTGTCTTTTTGATTTGGTTTTAGTTGTAGTGGGATGGTGGGTGGTTGGTGGGTGATCTGGTGTGGTTTGCTTCTTCTTTCCGATCTAACATCTATCGTCCTTATCTCCCCTTCTTCTTTTTTATGTTTGTTACTCTCTTGTAGCACCTCTAATCTTCTGGCACTCATATGACCTTATGCAGTTGCGAGCGCTGTAAAACCTCTGCTTAAACTAGTAGTGGGATGGATGATTGAATAATTTCAAAACTTTTGTTCAACGAGGATATTCCTGCTTTTTTTCAATCTGAGTGTCTTGTTTGTCTAATAAATGTCCTTTGTTTTTTTCGCAAGACTCTGACCCGCATGTTGGACGCTCGCCAGCTGGGCCTCAAGTTAATTGCCAACGTCACCTATGGCTACACTGGGGCCAGCTTCTCCGGTCGCATGCCTTGCATTGAGGTTGGTGATAGCATCGTGCGGAAGGCCCGGGAAAGCTTGGAGCGTGCCATACAGCTGGTGGAACAGACGCCTCGCTGGGGGGCCTCTGTCATCTACGGAGACACTGACAGGTGGGAGCAACACGTTGTGAAATTCCTTGGAAACAAGGTGTGGAACAGCTTTCTTTTGTTCATTTTAAAGATATATCAGATGACCTTGAGATCTTTGTGACTGAAAAAGCTCAACCCATCGACTACCTTTATGGTGTTTGTTTCAAAGTTTATAACCACTGTGGCAGATGTCATTTCTTTACAGTCTTTTTGACTGCTGTGGTGTTTTTCATCTTCTTTTGGTTCCTCTCCACTCTCTAGACAGTGATTTGGTGTGTGGTTTTAGAGATGTTTATAACACCCCCCCACCCCCTGCCACTGACTGAAGTGTCGTTAGGCCATTCCCAAAGGGGGGACATTTCTCGTTCTTATGCACAGTAGAATTGTAAATGGGATTATTCAACAATGTCATGCTCATAACTGTGCCTGAACTACAACAGGGAACTGCTGCCTTTTCTTTCCCAATTCTTACTATCGTCATTTTCCTCTACTTCTTTTGTATGTTTGCCTCACTCTTGTGACCCGCTATTTCCGGGGTGCCTTGAAAGTTAAAGCTAGAGAGGTGAGCATGTGTAAGCCCGATTCCCTGTAAAGACTTCTCTGTTGACATCCACCCCTTGGCGCTCATATGACCTTATGCAGCTGTGAGCGCCGTAAAACCTGTACGAAATAAATAAAAAAGATGTTTGTAAATTAAATTTTTTTAAATGTGAGAAATTGGGAGAGTAGTGTGACCTGAAAGTCTATGTGGCTGGATAATGAGAAAGATTAAATGTTTCAATTAATGTAGCGAGAAAACTAATGTGATTTCTTTTGCTTCTCAATTATAATTTTATGCTCATTTCTCGACAGCCTCTTTATTCACTTCCCCGGCCGCAGCAAAGATGAGGCTTTTGTCCTTGGGCAGGAAATTGCTGATGCTGTCACTGCCATGTTTCCAAGCCCAATGAAGCTCAAATTTGAGAAGGTGAGTGCTTTCCTTAGGAAAAAAAAAGTGAAATTCACATGTGGAGTATGATATTGATTTTGGAAGTGTCCATTGAGGGACATTACTGTTGTGAACAGGTCAAAATGGTTTGGAATTTTAAAAAATGTTATACACGGAATAGTTCAGGGTTTTAAAAACTTTTGTAAGATTGTGTTTAATTAGTTAATGTGGTCATTTTTTGCGGGTGCTTTGATGTCCTTATCTCTCTTCTTTTTTTAGTTTTACTCTCTTGTAACACCTCTAATCTTCAGCTCCTATATGACTTAATAATGTTGCAATTGCCTTAAAATTCTTACTAAAAATGATTTTCTGTGGTCATGGAGTAGTTGGTTATTTTTTCCTATAGCTCAGCAAAATGTGGTGGTTGTTCACAGGTATACCTGCCATGTGTCCTGCAAACAAAGAAGAGGTACGTGGGCTTCATGTACGAGACCCCAGACCAGACCGAGCCAGTGTTTGATGCAAAAGGCATTGAGACCGTTCGCAGAGATGCCTGCAGTGCAGTCTCAAAGGTAACTTTGCTGTAAAACACCCCCCCCCCTACCACGTACACACACACACTAATACACCCAATTATTTTCTGTGTGGAGCATGTCTTGACCTTTTCAAGTTGGATGTTTTTGTCATTGGTGCTCTGAGCACTCTCTCAGTACAATGGTCTTCATTTGATATTTATTGTCATGTATTATAATACAGATGAGCTCGATGGGTTGGCTGATGCTCTAATGTGCTTTGCTTCTTCCTTCCTATCAAAACATCTGTTGTCCTTCTTTTTTTTTTTTTGTTTTGTATATTAATACTTAGTAACACCTCCGTAGCTCGTTCATTTTCGTCTGACCGCGTAAAAAAAATTATAGCTCGTTGAGGAATTTACCTATGCCCACAAAACTTTGCATGGCACTTCTGCAGGCCAGCAACCAAACAAAAATTTTTTTATTTTAAATCTTGACCCAGTAATAAAAAAGTTTTTCTCTTTGGGCCCTTTATTAAAAACGGCTCTTTCGATGCATACACATGGGCCCTGCCCCCACATTTCAGTGTTATTGTCAGCATGTCGACTTCATCCCCCGGCCATCTAAGACGTCTCCACGTAAGTCTCGAAAAGTATCCACCTAGTCTCTTGAATCGTGTTTCTCAGGCGAACGTTAAAGAGCAATTTTGAGGAAAATATGTCCACTTTTAAATGTTTTCGGTGTGTGATGTAAATCTCCTATTATTCGTTTACCTCCTTTTGGCTTACATCAAAGAAAACGTGTTAGAAGTTTAATTTTCATTGACTCTTATGAATGGGCTTTTAGATTCTGTTTGGTCGCTTAACTTCTAGACCCACATGCAAAGACCCAGAAAGATTAAACAGAGCGATTTGTTTTTATCCCGTTTTAACCGCGGTCAGACGAAAGTGAATGCACTGTAATTTTCGTCACTTGTGTTACAAGTGCTGTAATACTCCAACTAAAACGAGGTCATACTGAACAACTTTGTGTACAGATTCTGGAGCGTTCAATCAAAGTGCTCTTCACCACCCATGACCTGTCGCGTGTCCGAGCCTATGTGACGAGACAGCTGCACAAACTGCTGGAGGGAAAAGTGAGCATCATTGACCTCATATTTGCCAAGGAGTTCCGTGGCCTCATGGGTTACAAGCCAGGGGCCTGTGTGCCGGCCTTGGAGATCGCTCGGTATGTTTATTTTTATTTTTGGTAGAGGCTGCTATTTGTCCATGAGGTTGTATGTGGTTTGGAGAACGCCTGTTGGAAGATGTAAACTGGCATAAATTTAAAAAAACAACAAATTTGAAGATATTCATTTTTTTAAGGTATATTGCTGTCTTTATTTTCGGTGCAAGTGGAGCATTCTGTTAAAGTGGAAGTTAATGTGAAAAGCACTTAATCACTCAGGCAAGATTGTTTTTGTCAATTTTCTTCCACTTAAGCTGACAGGGTTGGGTTGATTTAAATCAATTGATTTTTAAAATTTAAATCAACTTGATTTTTTAAATAAAATCAGTGATTTAAATCACTTTAAAAAAAAATTATTTTTATTCAGTTTTTACTTATTTCAACATTCAGAATTCCTTTTCTTGGTTTCATAAAACAGATATAAGGTTTAGTAGACTAATATAATCATGCTTAAAAGTCTGCTTTCCACCCTTTCACTGTAAAATAATACAGTATTCAATTGACTTTTTTTTCCATAATTGAAATCAGAGCTGGGTTGATTTAAATCAGTTGATTTTTTTTATTTTAATCAACTTGATTTTTAAAATTTTAAAATAAAATCAGTGTTAAATCACTTTTTTAAAAAATGTATTCAGTTTTTACATATTTAAACATTCAGAATTCCTTTCCTTGGTTTTATTAAACAGATATAAGGTTTAGTAGACTAATATAATCATGCTTAAAAATCTGCTTTCCCCCCTGTCCCTGTAAAATTTATTGTAATACAGTTTTCAATTTACTTTTTTTTTTTTTTCATAATTGAAAACCAGGGTTGGGTTGATTTAAATCAGGTCGATTTAAATCAGTTGATTAAAAAAAAAATTAAATCAAATTGATTTTAAAAATAAAACTCAGTGATTAAAATCACTTGAAAAAAATGTATTCTGTTTTTACATCTTTAAACATTCAGAATTCCTTTCCTTGGTTTTATAAAACAGATATAAGGTTTAGTAGACTAAAATAATCATGCTTAAAAGTCTGCTTTCCCCCCTGTCACTGTAAGTAGTAAAATAATACAGTACTCAATTTACTTTTTCTTTCATAATTGAAATTAGCAATTTCTTTTTCTTTTTAGACAAACACAAGCACGCGCGCACACACACACACTGTAATAAAATGCAAGTTTATCTATGCATGCTTACCCCCCCCCCTCCCCCCCTTCCTTTTAGACTGACATTTTCTTCATTTTAAATTGTCTGTAGCCATAATTCACTTATATAGCAGATTAAGGCTTTCTAAAATTGCAGTTGCTTAAATTAATAATTAGTTAAAATAAAGACAATGCATTTTGCACTGAAAGAACATACTTTTAGCCACCAAAAATCCCAAACCGTGTCGACATTTTTTTTAAAATAAAAAAAAATATAAAAAATCCTATTTAAATTTTAAAAATCTTGATTTAGATCCAAAAAATTTTTTTTTTTTAATTTTTATTTAAAAAATCAAAAAAATCACCAACCCTGTAAGCTGAACAAATTTTGAGAATCTTCAGCTTTTCCAAAACTTGAACTATGTTACACTTTCAGGTTTGTGCATTACAAATACAGTGTGTCGGCCTAAATTTCTGAGGACCTGCAGAATGTGCTGTCACCTAATGGACTGATGAAACTGATTTCATTTTGAGCCATGTCTCAGTCAGGACATTCTGGAGTATTAAAAAATGTCTCAAGCGCATACGTTGTTCTTTGTCGTTTTTCTCAGAAAAAGACTGCGTGTGGACCGGCAGTCTGAGCCGCGGGTGGGTGAGCGTGTACCGTACGTGATTGTGCACGGCAGCCCGGGCCTGCCCCTCATCCAACTGGTGCGGGAACCCGAGGAGCTCCTGCATGACCCAGGGCTACGGCTCAACGCCACCTACTACATCACCAAGCAGATTCTGCCTCCGCTGGACCGACTCTTTTCTCTCATCGGGGTCAACGTCTTTAAATGGTGAGCAAAGTGTGGTTGCTGCTGTTATGAGTGTAATATGAAATGATGGGTTTGAATTTTTGTGTTCTTTCAAAGAATATTTACCTGTTATCTTTATTCTCTGTCTTTGAATTGTATATTTTGTTCTGGAGTAAGGGGTTGGGAAGAAGGGGTAGATAGAAGAAAAATGAGTAGTGAGCAAGCAAGGATGTGTGTGGGAGAGAAAGAGTGAAAAGAAAAAGTTTCACAATTTTGAAATGAGAGAGATTTGTATGCCTGATTCTAATGTATGTATTTTTGATCCTGTCTTTACTATGTAGCGAACAATTTTTACAGAACAGCATGTATTTTCTGCCTCAAATTATTCTGTGTGCTATACAGGAACTGTTCATTTTCTTTCTTGCATATGTCGATTGCCCTCATGTGGGTGATTTGCGGGTGCTGTAGTGTGGTTTGCTCTTTCTTTCCTATCAAACAGCTTTCGTCCTTATCTCTCTTCCTTTGATTTTGTTTTTTACTCTCTTGTAACACCTTTAATCTTCGGCACGTATATGACCTTATTGTGTTGCAAGTACCGTAACACTCTAAAACTGAAAACTGAATTGCCCTCCCAGGTACCAAGACATGCCAAAAGTCATGCGAGTGGGGCCCATGATGGGAGCAGCAGCTGCGACAAAGCAGGTAGGTCCTCTGCCTCCTCTCTAATATCTAACAAAGTCAGGTTTTGTCACAAATTGAAAGAAAAGCGGGGACTCTCATGGCTTAGAGATTAAGGTGTTCGCTGGGTCTGAATCTGGAAAGCGACAGAAATTTTTCTTTTCTAAAAAATTGTCTCCTTTCACCTCCTTTCCTGCTCTCTAGCAATGTTCTGTTGTCTGCTTTCGCCTTCACTTTCTGCCCCCACCCCCTTTCCTTCTATGCCCCCTCCTCTGACTCCTCTGGGCTCTTTCTGAACCCTTTCTACTGCTACTCCTTGGCTCCTTCTTACTGCTGTGTTTCAGCCACAGCCCTGATCTTATGATAGGAAAGATCTACACGTAGCCTTCTCGGACAAGGGCAAAAAATCTCAGACAGTTCGGTGTGCAAGTTGTACATATTAAAGATCCCTTCTTGGTCCAAAATCGATAAGAGTAGGCTTCGGTCGCCGCTTGGGCAAAATTCAAAATTTCCTACCATCTGAAAATGTTTAATGTGTCCCACGCTCTCATATGACCTTATGCAGTTGCAAGCGCAGTAAAACACTTACACACACACACACACACACACAAAAAAAAAAAAAAAAGAACATAAAAGAAAGAGAAGCCCTTTAAGCTATGACCTCAGTTCAAATTATCCATCTTGGCATTGTTTGTTTATCAGTTTATTGTATTGTTTGAGGAATATTTTGAAGTTGCCAATTTTCAGAGGTGAACAGTCCAGTCCAGTTGTTTAAGCTGTTGCGTGAAAATTATGATCAGTAGTTACAAAGTCGGGCTGTGGTGATTTCTTTTCACATCTTTGATTGGGGATTTTGTTGAAAGTGCATTCATATAGAGTACATGAGCCATAGTGTGGCCGGTGTACATCCGCAGCCATAAGGCGCTTCTTCAGATTAAATGAGTCAAGTTAAACAACTCTTCAACCAAGAGTTAGTGGAACTTTCCAACAGTGACTTCCCTTTAGTGTGACTTCTTTTTCTTGTTTCGTTGGCGGGACCTGACCATCAATGATTTATTCGTTGGCGGGAATCGATGGGTCAAACATGCACTCTGGCAATATCAATTTTATATTATAAGTTAAGTTCACTCTTTAGCCTTTTATGGTCAACAAGTAATAGTACCTTACTTCCTGTAACATAAAACGCATCTAAATTAAACCTGCATTCTTTGTAATTCTCTATCTCGTTGCAAGATAGCACGTGGGTGGAACTACGGGATGGCCACTGTAAAAAGTACTGAATCTTACATTGTTTATGTCCGCAACTGCACTCTTTGTCTGTCTCTGTTTTTTGTCTGTCTGTCTCTGTCTCTCTGTCTGGGCACTCCTGTACAATTGCAGTCCCGTTTGTTTACATGACGGCCATTGTGGGAGTGAATCTTGATCTAGATCGAGATCTATCGAGATCTCTAGATTCTAGATAGCCAAGATAATGTCTCTAGATATAGATCTAGATTAGATATAATTTTAATTCTGTTTAGGTCTAAATAAGAAACACGTAAAAGTCACTACAGGGGCACTGAGAATCTAGTGAGATTTAGTTTTAGTGCAAACGGGACCGATAGATCTACATTCCTTTCACTGCATTAACAAAACACGAACTCAAATACCTGTTGTTGGGATTCAGATGTGCTTTATTTCACTCCAAAGCAATAGTCTACTTGTAAATAATTTCACTTTAAAAAAAAAAGAAGGGATGGCTGCACCTGCAAACACGAACGGCCGCGGTCAGAAAGCACAGTCTGCAGTTGGTGTATATGCTGGCCGCTGACAGAAGATGGGGCAGTGCTAACGTGCTATTTTGTGACGCATGGTGTACGAGTACCTTAGCCACACTATTTCGTGCAATGCCGCGCTTAGGCCTAATACGTCTTGCCTCGGCCAGTCAGAAGAGTTATATCGTCAATACTACCAACTGTATAGAGTGTTTTATGGTAAGTGGCCGCGCCTAGTGTACGTGCTGTACATGCACCTTTTTACAATTCCACTGATGCCTTTTAGGTGCTCTTTTTTTCTGAACTATTTTTGTTTTGTGTTGTTTTCTCCCAGGGTACTATCTCCCAGTTTTTCGCCACCACAAACTGTCCAGTGTGTGACAGCCAAACCAAGACGGCTGTGTGCAGCGACTGCCGCAAGGATCCCCAACTGGTGGTCTCCACCCTCACACACCGCCTGCAGGAGTGGGACCGAACCTTCTACCGACTGGCACAAGTAGGTCCACGTGTCCTGGGTTGTGAGATGGGAATGTGTTTGTTTCTTGCTTTGTGGAAGTTTGAAATGAATTAAATGTCCATGTTGGTGGTCAGAGGGTCACATGGGTTCTACTTCTTCACTTGTGTCAGTGTCCTCTTTACTCGTACAAACAAAATTGTCCATACTCAAGTCCTTGGAGTAAATGATCAGGGAGTAGAATGCTGCATTTTTAAAGTCCATAACCTGTTTGTTGACTTGCTGCCTACAACCCGCTTACGAATACCCCAACATACCTGCCACAGCAGTGGTTACCTACTTAAAGAATAGGCTAACACAAACAATGTCACCTTAGCAGAGACTGTGCCCACCATTTCGGAACTCCACAGTGACATTAAAGATGGTTCCAGTAGGGAAGGGGATAGAGGTTGCCCACGTCCCTCGTGACTTATTGGAGCAGAGGAAGATAGGACTAACGCTAACATTACTTAAACACAATCACTCATCATCACCATTATTTCTAAAATCATCATTACTCTCAGATCCTTGACTTACATCAATTGTTGAATCTCTATCTGTAACAGTTACATGTTATACTACTATGTATGTACGAAATACACTATTGGACATTATCATAAGCACTTTTTTCTACTAATCAGATGGCATCAATCTTATATAAATAGGCAAGGGATTAAAAAAAATCTTTTGGTTGCTTTGTTGAAGTTATTTCTCACACGCCACATCTACTTGTGTATTAAGTTTGTGAGCGCTATTTCTGTCTGCTTCCTCTTGCTTTCAGAGTTCTACAATTTATGTCATGGTAGCAAATGGGAGCTCTGATGTTGTATTTGAACCTGCCAAAATGCAGTTGAAGACTACAGGGGAAAAACGACGGTAGTCACCTTCTGAAAATATTGAGGGTACCAATTTTGAATGCTTGTTCACTCATAACTGTATTTCTGTTCAATTGTTCGTTGATTATTGTTGTTAGATTTACCATTCAACAACAATTAACAATAAACCACCAGTCAAACAAATATGATGTTATGAGTCCACAAGGTTGTAAAATTGGTACCCTGACAATTTCTGGTTAGTGACTACTGTTGTTTTTCCCCTGTGCTCTTCAGTTGTAATTGAAGTGAATTTGAGAAGTAATATTTTCTCTCTCTCTTTTCTGTAGGTGTGCGTTATGTGTCAAGGAGTGCAGGATGGAGAGCAGTCTTGTACAACCATTGACTGCCCCATCGTGTTCCGCCGCATCATCGCACAGCAAGACATGCTTCGAGCGGACAATCTGAGGGACGTACTGGACAAATTTCTACAGTACTAACCACCTAACAATTGGTACACGCCACAGATGTACGGCAAGTTACTCTGAATGATGACTGTGATCATGGTAAAGTTGGAGGGGACAACCAGAAGAAGGAAGTACAGACTGAAGAAGATGAAATGAGTGCAAGATAATGAATACAAGGCTGCATGCTGCAGTGGATGAACAGTCCTGTCGAATAATGGACATGGAAGGGTGCTGAAAGAGAGGAAAGGCTTACCCATATCTGGGAGGTGGCCCACAATTATTTCATGTGGATCTTCTGTAACTTGTCTTGTTGGGAAATATATGAGTGCATCTTCTGTTTGAGAATTCAAGTGTAAACAAGGATTAGGATGCTTGCCAAAGGAACTGGAGGCCTCATCAATAAGAGAGATTACAAGATTATTTTTATTTTTAATGAAAAATTTTTGGTGGAATAATAATTGCTCATATCTAGAAGGGAAAGTTATGTACAACCATTACTTTTTAAAAAAACCTTTATTCCCGTCTACCCTTAGACATCGACTTTTGGGGAAAATATCCGTCCGGATTCAAGTCATGAAGACCAGTAAAATCTTTGGAGGCATGCACGCCCCCCCCCCCCAAATTTAAAAAAAAGGGATTAAGAAATTACATAATTTCAGGTTATTTACCTTCACCCTTCCTAACATCCTCCACTATCAATCGCAGTCATAGCGTTGTGAAGTATTGAAAGTTTATAAAAGCTACATTTGAATATTTTAGACCAGGTTTGTGTCCGATTTGGGAATTTAGCTGGCGTGAATGTCTCTCAAACAGGTTACAGTTATGGTGCAGATACTAGAGTTGGGTCGGGCTCGCTAAATCAGCGTCCGCGAGTAACGAACTACTCGCTACACATCAGACACAGACAACAGTTCGTTTAGCGAGCAGGCGGACGGAGAGACAACATGCATTCGAGCGAACCTATTGCATACTCCCCCCCCCCCCCCCCCCCCCGGTAACTAGGCGTTCATGGCGGAAATCCCCCCCCCCCCCCCAAGACCTTTCGGAATTCTTTAAGCTTTGACTTCCCGATAATTGGAGCTTAAACAGTGTGCCCACACGCAAGGTGAAAGGTTACACACATAGTACTATGTCACCAGCCTCTCTCACTCCCTGCGGCACCGCTAGTGGCTTGAAACATTAGGCCTAATTAACAAACAATAGACGATGGGTCTAATCTCGCGTCGAGTATCTCGTCTGCTAGAGTTCAACCGTTCGCCCACCCACTCAGTGAATAAAATTATGGAGCGGACCTAAGAAATGAACTGACTTGAGGCTTGAGGTCCGCAGTCCGCTCCCTGAGAGAGTAAAATTGTGGAGCGGACCCAAAAAACGAACTGTCTTGAGGTTTGCAGTTCGCTCTCATGGCCGTCCGTTACTCGCTCGCTCAAACTGAGTCCGCGAGTAACGAACCCGTCGGTCCGCTCGCCCCAACTCTACTCTTTACATTCTGTACATTTCACATAGGACTGTTCGTACCTTGATTTCATATCGCCGAAGTTATCCTGGTGTCCCTAAAAATTTTAAAGAAAGTTCTTGTTTTGGAAAACTTTGAAAGAAGAAGATTGGACTGGAGAATTATCCCAATCAGACTTACTCTGATAATTGCTAGCACACTGCAATCGCCCAGCTGGTAAATACTGATACTGTCATTATAGAACTACTCCCTGTCTTATGTTACTCTCGTTGACAAATGGCTCAAAAATTCAACATTACACTGATTAGACGATCACATTTGTGATGGTGTTGGGCACCCAGTAGCCAGCTTCTTTAGAGAATCTAGTTTTTCATTTTTCTTTTTGTGATGCGTGAACATAAACTCTTTTCGCCTTTTTACTTCACATGAAAATATGTTTTTGAAGATAATAAGCAATGCATTAAAATGTCTATCAAATTTTGTTATGCGACTTTTGATTCTTTTTTTTTTTTCTCTTGTAAAATGGGCTGAACCACACCACTTATGTCCCGACACTGTCAATGAGTTAGTTATACTGACGCATGTACACTCACAACAACATTAATCAACTCGCGTGTTCATCCTATCTATCATGACTTCATGAAGGAAGGTGACCCCTGCCTTCTAAGACCTGTGTGCAATGCAGGATCTACCCACAACATGCTCAAGAATGTGTCAATGTGCAATATCATCACCCTCCCTTAGTGTTGTGCTCGTTCAATGGTGCATTTTTCTGCTTACGTTGCTGTGTGATGGAACAAAACTTACAACAGACAGCTGATCTGCGAGGAAGGATCCTCTATGCCATATTTGAAATGCTCGCGGTTGTGTCCTTTACGTTTTTTGGGGGTTTTTTGTTGTTTTTTAAAAATTATGTACAAAAGAAAATATATCGTGCTGCTGCTTCCCTGCTCCTGCGCTAGATCTCAACGTTTGATATATTTCAATGGCTTTTTAAAAATCCCAGTTCTCTTTAGCTTGTAATGTTGGTGCTAGCATGTCATCGAATGGTGTCGGCCGTTTACGCAAACCTTATTGTGAATTTTAATTGAGACATTGTGTACAAACGTTCAGCACACACATACCACAAATATGTAAGGAGATGCTTATGAGAGTATGTGGACAGATGTGTTTGAATGAATAGTATACATTGGAAACTTTTTACTGCTTTTTGCTCATATTTACTCAATGTGTAGCAGATAATGAGGTCAATTTTGTTGATGTTTAAACTTTATACATAATACTTCTCTTTGAAATGTGAGTAGTCATATATGGACCTGGATCAGTTATTGTGTTTTGTGTCATGAAATATTGCTACTTCAATTTTTACATGATTGAAATTTTGAAATGCGTAAATGCTTCTCGATTGGTTATGGGTTTAAAACCTTTTCTGGACATATTGCATGGATTGTATCAGTTATCAAGGATTTTTGCATTATACCAAAGAAATGTTATGAAAAAAAAAAGAAAGCTTGATCGAGTGATTATGTAAATAATCTGACAGGCTTCTGGAGTGTAGAAAGTGTTTTAAGCAAGTACTGGTTATTGTTGCTCATTGACTTGTTACTTAAGGAAGTTTGAATGCATACATAACTCGTGTATATATATATATATTTATATATATATCTATATATATATAATGTACCCAAATTTCTGAGGAATGTAATTTTTAATCATGTTGTCTGCATAATTTTCAGTGCTTTAGACAGTTGTACACAGGTGGTGCGAGTGAAAGACGATCAAGTTATGGTCTGCACAAGTTCTCTTGTGGTCTGAAATTTCCTCTAGTGATCTGTGCAAGTCTAAAGGGGCAAGGGAATGTGGCTTGTGTCAGTCTTACTAGCTCAATGATCAATCACTTTCTCCTTCAGCTCGCCAAGGGGTTTTGTAAAAGAGTTACTCGTCACTTCTGCCTATTGATGTGTACTTGTGTGTCAGGCATCCTGTTGTGTCTGATGACTTCTACCACTGGAGAGAGTGACAGGAGAGTTTGGCTGGTATATTGGATAGTGGAGGCACTTCTCTTGGCATACAGTTTTATGCTTTAAAGGATTTGATATCTTCATGATGCATCTGAGTATTTTGAGTCAGTAGTTGTGTTAGGTGTACATACTCTCTTTATCATTGACAAGTTGCTAATTTGTTTTCAATTCAAGGCCTCATCCGTTAATTCATTTGGGTTTAAAAAAAAATTTTTAAAATATTTTAAATAAATTTTATGTTGATGTTTTTCCAACTGCTCTTTCCCATGTTTAACTTCCTCTTCTGTTCTGAAAGATTTCTTGTTTGTCATTGTACTGCATGGTAGCTTGAGAGTTTGGATTTGTTCTTGTCTTTTCTTGCTCCTGGAATTGAGTCATCTTCACCAAGTTTTAAAAAAAATATTTTGTAGCCGCCAACTGCTGATTGTTTACATCTTCTGTTGAAGACATGTCTGGAAAAAAATGAAATAAAAATGGACAAAAGATTAGTACCCCCTTGCAACTTTTGTGGCCCTCTAAGCAATGCTCGGAGCTACTTTTATGGGCATTTCAGTCCCCCCCCATGTGTTCCCTGTGCAAGGGTGCACGAAGCATATCAAAGAAAGGATGCTTCCCACATTTGGAATCGGTTGACCGACTCCAAGCGGTATGAAAATTTATTTCACTGTTTTCCTTTTGACCTGCTTTGTTCTGTATCAGGCTTTTGTTCTTGGCTGACTTGGCCTCAGAATTTGAATGTCTTCTTCTTGCCCAGATACTTTCAGCCGTAAACGATGAAAAAGGAGAGAAAGTGGACTGTTTACATTGACTTTTTATTTATCAGAATATAAAATAAATGAAGTCTGAGAAAGACAGCTATCTTTTAGAAGACAGTTAAGACTCTGTCCTCATGTAGTTTCTCTTGCCAAATTGGCATGCAGGTGTTGAACGAGGTCAGGTTTGATGAAACTTTGAAATTAAACATAAGCCATTGTTGTGTTAGCTCACTTAACTTACTGGCTCTATTTATGTGTTTTGTGGCTAGGACAAAGATCACATTAGAAGTCAAGTTAGGTCAGCTGCCTCATAGATTATGTTGAATCAAAATCACAGCGACGTTTTCACAAATATATTTATTGCATTGAAATTATAAATGATTCATAAAGTAAGGATTTCATGTCGTCTGAACTTGCATGAAGAAATTCCCTTGTAGTCAGTCTCATGAAGCTTAATTGTTGAATACTTTGCGTCTGCTCTGCAAGGTGTAGCATGAAGTTAAAATCTGTCTATTGTCAGTCTTATGCCATTGAGATTTTCCATGTGAATAATACGAACATCAACTTATGTATATTGTATGTTTTGCCTACCTCTCTTTGTTCTATCTGTCATTCAGTGCCAGGAATATGTGTGTCTCTTCTGTTTCTCAGGAAGCAGGACCACCTCTTCATGTGTATTTGTGGATTCAACTCTTTATCATGACCAATAAGAGATTAGATTTCCCCCCCCCCCCTTTGGATCACATTTTTTCTATGGTATGCAAGGCAGTTGTCAGTTTTGTTCGATGAAGAGGAAGTAAATTAGTCTTGCGCCTGACAGTCGATATTATCTGATTCACTTACACTTATTCTTAAACATATATTTATGAAATAACGATCAGGAAATGATAATGCTTTCTGTTTTTCTAGCCAAGATGTTGCCAAGCCATAATTAGATCAAGTGATACCGATGTTTCCTAATTTCTTGGTCAGCTCATTTTGTTTTGTTTTTAAGATTCCTGTGGTGTGAGCCTTCTGCTTTTTCGTCAGTCGGTGTGTGCTGCGCTGTTGCTGCTGCTGCTACTGCTACTTTCATGTTAACCCTTTTTTTCCTCCCCTACCCGTCTCTCTCCTGTGCCCCTTCTTTTTTGTACCCTCAAGACTCTTCATGTACAGATGACGAAGTAATCCTGTACATGTACTTTTGTGTGTGTGCGTGTGCGTCTTTAGCTTTCCTCTGTCTGTCTGTCTCTGAAGTCTTACTTTGTCTCCCCCCCTCTCTCTCTGAGTCCTTGTCTGTTTTGTCTACTTCTGCCCTCCGCTTAGCACGAGGAAGATGGGAGTATATGTGCTTTTTAGTAACGTGGACAGTCCTCACTCTACGCGGCTGCTTTAGTTTCTTGTTTGTTAGACTTCCTCAATTTGTTGTTAGCTTTTGTTGAACACTTTTAAAACTCTTTTCAATGTATTGTTTTTATTTGGTTAATATCTAGTGTCTTACATGGGCTATTGCCTAGGAGAGATCTGATATTCATGCGTTACGTTTGTGTGCCGTGTTTCTGTAAATGTTTGTTACAAGAAAAGTGCATGCATACAGTTTACATATTGTTACTTCAAGAAAAAAAGCATAAATCCTGTACAAATAAACTTATAGTTTGAAACTTGCAATTTGGAGGGTTTTTTTATTGCTCATTCTAGAACATTTTGGTTCCTATAAAACATCTATCTTCCTTTTCTCCCTTCCTTTTCTTTGTATGCTACTCTTTTATAACACTTCTGATCTTCAGCGCTTATTATATGACCTATTTATGTGAGTGGTTTACTGGTGCTCTGGTTTAGTTTTCTCCTTTCCTATCAAACATCTGTTGCACTTATTTCTTCTCCTTTTTTGTATGCACCTATAATCTTCAGCACTTATATATTATATGACCTGTTTGTGTTGGAAGTGCCATAAAACTCCTACCAAAACTAAAACAATAGATTTGGTAATATGTTTGTGGACATTCATCAGTGCAGCAAGTTAGGACCCGAAATACTCGTAGCTCAGGGTTTTTACGCCACAATGTGTGAATGTGAACTAAATGTTTGTTTCTCTGTACTGTAATGGGATTTGCTGTTATTAGTGTTATGCTGCTAAATTCACAGGCTTTGACTCGATATTCTGGCAACAGTTCAGTCCCCCTTTTCTCTCAAAATTAAGCTTATTCCTATTTTAGATTGTTTCAATTTTTAAAATGTTGAAAGGTTTTCTTTCCAATGTCTGTGGTTTAGTGGTTAAGATCTCTGCCGCTGCTCTCTAAACATGAATATAATCCCAGAGTGGGGACGTCTTATATCGAGTGTCTCTGTCCGTCTGCCGCAACGCTGTATCCCACTCTTGTGTTGGTGGGGACTAAAATACAAGTACAATGTAAAGATTTTCAAGCCCCTCTCTTGTCCTATTTTCCATAACTAGGTCACCTAGTTCAAGTAGTGAAACTCCGTTCAGAGACGTCCGTTTGTCACTGCAAAATTTAATGAGGGTATATTTTCACACTTCACAACGTTGCACGCAGGAGTCCAGCGTTTGATTTTTGAGTTGGGAGAACTTTTACTGAGTGTTTTGGTGTTTCTGCACGAATGTTGTATCTTTCTCTACCTGGGTTGGCACTGACAGTAGTGACAGGCAAGGTCATAAGCCGTGGGTGGTTGGCGGGTGCTCTGATGTGGTTTGCTTCTTCTTTCCTGTCAAACATCTATCGTCTTTACCTCCCCTTCTTCTTTTTTGTGTTTGCTAATCTTCGGCACTTATACGACCTTATTGTGTTGCAAGTGCCGTAAATCACTTACTAATACAAACAAGGTAATAAGCCTGCCTCGTAAATTATCTAAATTGTATTGATAGGGGCTTAAGCTTAAAAAAAAACCTACATTTTTTTTTCGCTACACTTCTCTTCATAATGAACCCTGGGTTTAACAGTAATGTGAAACTGAACTTTTGAATTACAGAACCGGAACATAATTCAACAAACAAGCTTGGAAATTTTCTAACAACTTGTAAATGGTTCAAGAGACCATTGTTTACAGTTAATCCTGTTGCACTGCAAAAAAAGACATTTTTATAGAAGTTATGAAAAGAATGGGATTCAAGCATCTTGGTCTTTCTGCAGAGATTTTGTATGGCTCTCAGTGCTGGTTGGCCCTAACAGGCAGAGTCCAAGCCCACTTCCTTAACTAAATAATATAAATTGTGTCGAATAGGGCTTTTAAAAAGACAACATAAACAAAAAAAATTGGCCTGCCTCACAGAAGTTCATGTTTCAAATCAGAGTAGGGTCTGAAATATTTTTCATGTTCCTTCTGGAAAATTTTGTCTCTGCTGATGTCTTGATGGGGGCCCATTAAGTATTCCCATTGCCAAAGTCATCAGTAATGTGTCTTGAAAGGTGTGAAATATCTATCTGAACGAACTCTTACTTGTACCATACTGCCGTTCCAAGGCAGAGCGGTATATCTGACAAAATTGAGGTTTTTTTTGGTTTTATTGGTTTGCTACTATTGTTTTGCCCATATCCTTTTTGTGTCAAAGGTGGGACAACACATCTTCATCTGAGATAGTAGTTTTTAAAGTGGTAAAGCTACATAAGTCAAAGGTCTCAACAATTAGCCTGAAGAGTTTTTTTTACAGTTTTCTCAAAATCTTGAAATGTGCGTTAAGTCGCTTTGCCTTTGGATGGCAGTATGGAGTCGAAATCCAAGAGTTGAACACAAACCATGGACATTGCTGTTCTGAGGTTGGTAACTGCTATTCATTGTACACATTTCCATGTGTAGAAAGATGCAGTTTACACTACACTGACAGTGGGGATAAATTATGTATTCTGAGGCCACAAGTTAAATAAATAAAGACAAGTGTCAATTGCAAACAAAATGAAGAAACAAGTTTCTACTGCTAACAAAAATCTGTGTATTGCAACAAAATATTTGAACATCACTCACTTTGTCATGAGAAGGAAAGGGTAAACCAAATATATTACATTTGAAAGCTAAGTGCACAAGTGAGAAGAATCGGGTTCAAAATAAAAAAGTGGAGCAAAAAGTCCTGTTCTTTCCCTTTTCAAAGCCAGATGGTACTGATACATACGAATATATAACAGACTGAAAGAGCAGGAGCTTTTTTCAATTTTCATAGTGCCAAGCAGAGAAGACGATGCTAAATAATCCACAGAGTATCTGTTAGCTGCAAGTTTTATATACCCCTCCCCCAAAGCAAATCAAGTACCAATCACCGAATCCATGGCCTTTGGAGAACAACTCTTGGCTACCAAAGGCAAAACAGAACAAGAATAACAGACTGATGAATTATTTCTGAAAATATTTTTTTTTAACGTCAGAGGCACCTTATACATTAAGTTACAAGGTTTAACTTTTATCTCCACATACCGCTGTTGAACCAAAACCCTTTGAGCAAACATCGCACTTGTATGAGAGCTTTAATGAATAATAGTAATATTAATATATTGTTGCCCTTCTGACAAGACAGGCTAACCCCAGCAGACTAAATTTTACAGGAGAAGCCAAAAACTTATTTTGTTTCATCATGCAGCAACCACCTGGTATCAGCAGCATTTCTGGTCAAAATTCAGACCCGTCTTTGCCTCAGTGCATGAAGTGGCTAATTCACTATCAATTCCTCCACAAAAATGTGACGTGTATGAGTGGTTCGGTCCACTAGGTACATCGAGTGAAAGAAAAAAAATGCCAAAATAAAACACTCGTTGGGTCTAAAAATGAGCACAAATTTTTTTGCTTTATTAGACTTTTGAATGACTTTTCTGTCGGAAAATCAATTTTAAAAATCTTTTAAAATTTGATGTTACACGTGTTTATAAAGCTATTTAGGAGAATGTCTTTGTTCTGTGATGGAGGCGTTTGTCAATCTTTGATAGCGAATATCTCAGTTTTTTGCCTCGGACAGCAGTGAAGTATTCCAAAATTGAATTGTGCGTCATTTACTTAAATATTATCGTATTCATTTGATATTTGTGTCATATGAAGGGGAATTATGTCCTCATTGCATCTGTACCAAAAACTCAAATTATGAAATCTGTACCTATTGGACCAAACCGTCGGGACTTGTCACAAATGTTTGATGTTTAGTGGGTTAGCCCGTGCTATCACAAGGGTGACGGATAATTTCAAAGAAAGTCAGCCAGTTGAGAGGGCAGACAAAAAGTTATTGCTTTCAAGAAGGAACAATATTGCCTTGAAAAGAGAGCAAATAATATTGCATTAGTAAATACTGCACTGAAGAATGTACAAAAAGATCTAAGTGATACAAAAAGAAAAAACAGAAACATGCTGAGGAAGCATCGATCTTCCTCACGTACAATAGCACAAAGCTTATAATCATATAAAGAATAAACTTTGGGAGTCGGAGATAGCTATGCGACATGAAAATGTCTAAACTAATACTGGGCCGGCAAAAAGTTAAGACTGTCGCAGCAGATGTCAATACAGTGGAACTCGGATTCAGCGAGCTCGGATTCAACGAGAACTCGGATTCAACGAGAGGAGATAGATTCCTTCTTTAAAATCAATAAAAAATAACCCGGATTCAACGAGCACTTAAATCAGCGAGCTCGGATTCAACGAGGTCGCTTCCAGGGTGAACAGCCCCCACGGACGTGGCTTCCCTCATTTTTCTCCCAGAACGAACTTTATCTATTCCTGGAAACCTTCCATTGCACCTGCGCAGTGTACTATTATTCATTTAGCCAATTGCATGCGACCAATCAGTGGCCTTTTTTCATACCAACACATGCGTTATTGGCACACGCACGTGTCTACTCTAGCGTGTGTCGGGGTCGGATGGGCGGCCTGCACACGTGTGAATGTGTGTGCGTGTCGGGGAGGGGCACCTGCGGTCTGAGCGTTGAACGTCGCAGATACAAACGAGTCACAGTCTTTTTTCCCCCTCGGCAACTGATCATTATTACAATGATAAGCTAGTCTTGACGTAGATCTGCATTATGAATTGTGCGCTAGTCTATGGAATCAAACTTTGCCGTATGCTAGGCTCTACACAGCAACATAACTTTTTGGCAAACAATCGAGATGACACATGCGTGCATTTGAACGAATCAGTCTTTTTTTACACAGATTATAATATGGGGGCATTTCAGGCTCTACTTATTACTTCTCTTTACACATTACTTGCTCAGGGCCTGTAATTATCTATACAAAACCTCTTGTTTGCTATAACAAACACTCGGATTCAACTAGATTTTAGGTCAGGCCCGGAGACCTCGTTGAATCCGAGTTCTACTGTACTGACAGTGACGGGCAAATCATCCAAGGTGGAAGTGAAATTCTTATGTGTTCAGAGTGCATCAGCAAAGATCCTACATTTGTACAACGTTTGATTTGCACTAATGTTTTAAAAATGGAGTCTGATAACTGCTTTTACTCCAATGTAATAGGTCTGCTAGCATCTGACAACCACTCTTTGTTTTTTGGGAGTCTAGCAAGACAAAAGTCGAAGGAATTCCCACTATGATTATGTGCTGACAAAAGTTGACCAAAAGACCTAAAACTGTACATTAAAACCCCTTAGTTGGATCGCACAACCCCATCAGCATCTTTCAACTCTCCGATGTCATAGAAACGAGTTCACATGTTGGGAGAGGCCACCGGTGTCCTCTTCTTGCTCCCAGGGGTTTTCCCCTCATGGCACGGACACTGTCGGTAGCGGAAGATCTTGATGCAGTGGTCTCCCCCAACACTGAACTCTGAGACCACCAGGTGGCCTTCCAGCCCTAGGGCAAGGGAGTGAACACTGCCAACGTCGTCCGTGGGGACTAGGACCTGAGAGGAGGATTTTCCCATTATTTTGTTGCAATGTATTTATGTGTGGCATTGTGAAGAAATCAGGCACTCGTCAAAATAATGAATAGAAAAAAACATTGGATCATATTTATTTGAATTTTTTGGAGGGGCTCAATAACTTAAAACTCTTTGCGTCTATTTAAAAACACTTTCCTATGTGGATTTTACTGAAAAGACAGATCAAAGCCACAAAAAATGTAAATCTGCATTTTTCAAAGACTCTCAAACTTTGGCAGTCACTAAATTTTGGCAGCAATTTTCTCACTAATTTTACCTCTAAACAACCAAGCGACTCCCACTTCCCTCAATCTCAAATATCTTAAATTTTTACTCATAACAGAAGGGTATTTTTTTCCTCAAGGGCAAAATAAATAAACAAGGTTTAAGATGATACTAAAAACTCTGTATGCCTCAAAATTGATGGGTGACTGATTCCATCTTATTATAACATGTGTGCATTTGTATAGTACAAAAGTACAGTTGAACCTGTGCAAGTTGACCATCCATTGTCAAGGAAAAAGTGATCATCTGAGACCTGTCATTATAATGCTTAAAACTGTAAGGGGGAAAGTGGTCATTTGTACAGGTGATTGTCTTGTTCAGTTGGCTGTTAGAGCAGGTTCGACTAGATAGAGATATATATACATTTATGTCATAAAAAGTAGTCTATAATGGTCAGAGATACCAGCAACTGGTGCGATGGTTCAATTCATTGTCGTAGCGTGCAAAAGACTTGAGGTCAATTCCCAAGTCGGCATGTCTGTTTTATCAAGCATCTCTGTCATTCTTCTTGGATCCTGTATCTCATTCATCTCAGGTTGACCCTGACAGGCAGGCTCAAATAGCTTGTCGCCTCCTATTCCTATTGATTTAAATTGTGCCAATAGGGGTGTAAAGCATTTCGTCATTAAGCTGAAAAAACCCTGTTTTGTTCTTTTAATTTCAATTTTGATAGAATATTTCTTGAGTCCAGGCAACATGTATCCCAGATTAAGAAACAGCAATAAATACAAAAATGTCAAAATTTTGGGCTTAGTAGGCCTACTTTTAAACAACTGACGGACGATTCCCAAATTATAAAATTAATCAATGATATGGGATGGAAGGATGAAAGGGGGGTTGAAAGAAATCAAAGTCCAAAGCACGTTGGCAAGCGTTTCCCCATATACTTACCTTGCATTTCAAATAAGAGTAGCTCTTAAACTTCTTCAGATTTAAAAAAAATCTGAGTCATGATCGATAATAACATTTAAAAAACTCTCCCCACAATCTTATAAACTTTTAAAAAATATGCCTGTTTCTACATCTTTAATCCTAAAAAATAATGTTTTTCATCTGGACACAATAACTTTTCTTACACGCAGCAAGTGCTGAGTAAGAGAGAGACACATAGAGGGTCATCAAGACAGTTTCCATTAGTTCCTGCAATGAAATTAGTTAATTTTGGGTGGGGGGGAGTACAAAAAAACAAGGGAACATATAATCCAAAAACGTTGAAAAAAACTCCCCAATGTCTGTATACACAAGTTCACATGGAAGCAGACCCCCATCCATCAACCACCACTTTGCTCCTCCTTTCTTGTCAAACATCTATCATTCTTTATCTCCTCCTTTTCTTTGTATGTTACTCTCAAGTATCACATGTTATTTCAGCACTTACATGACCTATTTGTGAATAATAAAAGTAATAATAACAATAATAAATAATAATAATATATATTATAATAATAATAATAATAATGCGTAGAATAAACATATACATGCTCTACAACACTCTCTATGCATTTTACAACTATTACAACCCCAGCAGATCCCAGAACACTTTGAAACACTCTCAGCTTCCCACGAAGCATACGGTGCAAGCATCCGATTTAGGTGCAAAAACACTAACAAACTGACAAGATGTTTCTCAGATGCCAAAGCACTAACAAACTGACAAGATGTTTCTCAGATGCCAAAGCACTAACAAACTGACAAGATGTTTCTCAGATGCCAAAGCACTAACAAACTGACATGATCTTTGGCAAAGTGCCATAAAACTCTGACTGAACTTAAACTAACCTGCTGGAGAAACTCGCCGTTGTCCGTGTACACGTTGATCACATGGTTAAGGACGTCCACGACAAGAATCTGGCCCAGCGGCGTGAAGCAGACGTCACCGGCCATCACAGACAGGCCCGCTGAGTGTGCCTCAGGGGAAAACCGACAGAAGCAGCGACCCTCCAGCGTGTACAGGTACACATGACCGTCCTCCGGGTCACTCACCAGGATCTGCACCAAAAAAGTCTTTAAATTTCAGCTTTCTCACCAGACATATAAAATTTACATCAAAAGTCATGCTTATAACAACAACAGCGACAATAACAACAAAAGCATATAATAATACTATGATAATAATAATAATATGAATAGCAATAATAACAATACTGATAATAATTATCATTGTCTTCATCATCATCATAATACAATAATAATAACAGTCATGATCTTTACCATTAATTTTATAAGCATAATAATGATAGTAGTAAAGACACAGTGTGCATATATGTATAGTTTGTAGCCTATAAAAGACTACATGATCTTTGGTAAGTAAAACTCTGGCTGCTATTATTACTATTGTTATTTATCCAGAACATGCTGAGCATATTTGCTGCTGTTGTTGTTGCTGGATAGGGCACACCCTGAGGAGCCCCCCGACAAGCATCATCAGACAGGCTTTAACGTGGAACCCACAAGGAAAACGTAAGAAGGGAAGACCAAAGATGACACGGAGGCGAGCGGTACAAGTGGAAATTGAAAAAGCGGGAACATCATGGAAACAGCTAGAAAAGGATGCTCAGGACAGGCTTCGCTGGAGTAATATTGTTGATGGTCTATGCTCCACTGGGAGTTAAAAAAGGGCAAGACAGAGAGTTGTTGTTGTTGCTGTTGCTAATGGTGATGATGTTGTCGCTATGGCAATCAACCAGAAAGATGTTGAACTCACATCCACACCCATCTGCTTGCTGCCATGATGAAGTACATAGTGTATGACTACTCCAGCAGTTCTGTTATTTCAAATGCTAAATTTTTAGTAAAAAGGAAGGGTAGCACCTTGCTCCCCCCCCCCCCCTTTTCCATTTTGAACTGTTTGACAAAGTGCACAACACCCTGGGTCATCGAATCTTAGTGGGGGTTGCAGCTATATCTTTAATAAAACAGGAAATGTCCGGCTGCAATTATCATGATGCACAAAGAATTGGTAGGTTACAATATCTTAATTTTACCCATTTAATTGTTTATCTCTACAATAAATCCCTCTGAAAAAGAGCAAGAAATGTAGTTTTAGTACTCGCTGTGAGCAGACTCCACAATTGTCATGTATACCTCCGAGTCGTTTGACATTGAGATCTGTATTGGAGCACCCGAGGACTTGCCCTTTGCCCCCACTGGAAAGTGGTGAAGCATCACTCTGTCGTAACTGTTAAAAATGAAGATCTCCTTCCGAGTCGTTGCCACGGCAACATTCATGTCTCTGTCGCAGCCCAAGCTGAAAGGCTCTCCAGCTATTGGCATACTGTACTTAAACTTCAAATCTTCTGTGAGAACCTGAAAAATCGTAAGCAAAAGTTCAAAATAAAAACAATATTCTTTTGTTTTTTTGTTTTAACACTTTGCCGCCACAAAGTCAGCAGTACAAAATACCCCATCTGGTCACCCAGCCAGGAGAACGACTGCAACGGAATTCTCAGGCCTGGTGCACAACTGCGCCAGGTGACCCGAACGGATAATTTTCACTGGTGCATTATTGTGCCAAGTGACCTAAAAGTGTTAAACTAGCTTCTTTCTTTTGTAGGGCTGCAAGAAAATGTTCACCTGTGGAGAAAACACTTTTATCTAACCTGACCCAATGAGGTTGTTCTCCGGGTAAGTCACAGTAAAGTCACAAACTCAAGAAACTCAGCTAGCCTGCAGTGTGTTCTCACGCCAGGTATTCTAAGCTGCTGGTGAGGAGTGACAATCAGTTTCTTGAATTCAAATGGGCATCAAGTTGGTGGATTTTGCTTAAATTTCATAGAAATCACTTCACTTGACCATCCACAGTACTCAAAACTTAAAAATTTAACTCGAACAACAGGCATTAGCTTAACTTTCAAAAGTTGTAGACCTGTTTCTGTTTTGTTGCAAAGCAAATTTAGTTGAAAATATTGAACAAAAAAGTTTCGGTCAGCAACTTGAAATTACCAATCAACATATGCTCAGAAAATACAGGAAATTGATATATATATATATATATACTAGCTGGGCCCCCGTTCAATGAACAGATTGAGACAGAAGCGTGTTGATTGTTCCCAGTAGCAAGAAAAAGAATTTGACAAAGGAGTCCAGAAAAAGCGATGATGGGCATCAAATGAAAGGATCACTGTCGGATTTAGCACCAAGTAAAAAAAACCCATAGGCTAGATCTAAACGTGTTGCACACTTAAAATAGTGCTCAGTATTGCGCGACAATGTGCGATAGTATCGAATGGAAGTATGACTTGAAATAAACAAACCTGGCGGATTTTTTAAAATTACAAAGACAGAAGCGTCGGCCTACAAAAGCGATCGAAGAAATAAAGAAATTTAGCTTTTTGCAGCAAAACTGTCTCAAAACTTAAAAAACGAAGGGCGTCATGATCTGGAGAATATTTTAAAGAATCTTTTGGCGAAAACCGCATGTCAATCGATGGAGCTATTAAAAAGCCTTTTGAATAGCAAAATTCGGCCACCACAATTAGATAATATAATTATATATTTATACATGTGCGTGTGTTATATATATATAAGTGTGTGTGTGTGTGTGTGTGTGTGTGAGTGTGTATGTGTGTGTGTGGATACAACTATAGACCAGCAGTGTCTCTATTCAGTAGACATGCCAACTTCTATAAGTTAGGTGCTTAATTAAATAGCTGCTAAAAAAAATTGCATACAAAACAAGCCTAAGCCCACTTTAACTCATTCGCTACGCCGAGCCGTGGGGGGCGACGCGGCTAAAGTGCCGTCAGTACGCTAAGCCGCCCCCGGCGGCTCGAGAACCGATCTTCAATTTTAGCTTAGATTCTATTCCAATCCACATATCCATGTTAAAATAAAGGTCATAATATAATGTTGACTTACGGGTCAAGCATTTCCACTGAAAATCGAAAATTTAGATTCAGTTTTGAAACACGATTTCGTAGTTTATTCGACTTTGTTTTATCACGATGCCAAAATTATAGCCTGGACACCAGTCTTAGTAATTTTACACTACAAAATCTATCATTATTTTGCCCACTAAAGAAATGTAGAACTCTTTTTTTATAATATTGATACGATTGGACTCATATTGCCAAAGTACTGTTATTGAGAAATCAATATTTTTGAGTGCTAGAACTAAATTGTCAAAATATTTTTTTCTCCACAAAATAACTACTTTTTGACGAAATTACACAAAAAGTGCCACTCAAGACATGTATAGGTTTATTCCAAATGCAATTCTGAATAATTCCATATAAGATACGAGTGGGTTTTTTCTGTTTGTGATCGTTTTTCAAGATTATAAAAAAAATTTTTTTTCAATATCGGATGTTATGTTCAAAATGTACAAATATTATGGTATGTAGGTAAATAACTGCAAACTTTTCAATATTTTCCAGTTCTATATTGTTTTATGGTTATTTTGATGTATCATTTGACTAGGTGCAAACATATTTTTTGAGTTTCACCAAAGATTATTAATTTTTTATTTTCAAATTTTATCCGCATCCAATCAAAATTGTGTTGCATAATCGTCTCTTACAGGAACCAAAGTTGAAAAATACATAAATAAACATTACAGATGTATTTTACAAACCATACTGAAAATATTGGTATATAATACGTTGATATTTAATTGAATTTGTGGCCCCAAAGACCTTTTAACTGCCCACTAGTCATCATCTCATTCGCCCTCCCGAAAAAAATTCTTCCACAAGCCGAAAATAATACGTAGCGAATGAGTTAAGTCCCTTGCTTGCATGGCATTAACTTTGTCTTGGCGATAAAACTTTCAATGAACAAACCTGCACTCTTTTATTCTTTTTATCTGCTACTGCAATATCCCCGTTGGGCAGTTCAAGGACGTCACAAGGTTCGTTGAACTCCTCATTTCCCTGTCCCTGCTTTCCGACATGCTTCTTGTACACACCGTATTGATTGAGATGCTGCACTCGATGGTTCATTGAGTCAGCAACCAGAATATCGCAGTCCATCGTGGTGCACAGTCCTCGCGGGTAGCGGAAGTCACCGGGGGCGCTACCCGTCTCACCCAACTTGTACAGTAGCTTGTCAGGTCTGTGACAGTACCATGGTGAAAAAAAAAGAGTGCACATTTTAAATAGTATGTGTGTGTCTGTGTGTGTGCATGTCTGTATTTGAGTATGTATGTGTGTGTGAATGTGCATGCATCTTTCCGCGCGTGTGTGTGTGTGAGTGTGTGTGCGGGTGTATATATTCACCCATGTCAGAACAGATATCCAGCTATAGACAGTGGAAGAACTTGTCAGTTTGTTATTTTTTGAGTGCATAAAATCTACAGCTTCCACTGTATGCTTCCTGAGAAGCCAAGAATGTTTCTAAGTGTTCTAAGGTCTGCTGGGGTAATAACAGTTGTAAAATGCATAGAGAATACTATAGAGTGTGGATATGCACTATATAAATGCAATTATCACTATTATTATCATGATTATTATTATACTCAACTTTTCTGCTTTCTGTATATGGAATGTCTTACTTCTTTGTGCCAGGAGTTGGTTCTTCAGACTTGTCATGTAGATCTTCCACTGCTCTGTACGTCTCTGTCATGCCATGCGACAACACCCATGTCTCAAACTCTTGTCTGTCTGTGTGGTCTTTCATTACTTCATGACGACAGTCATGTACTAAAAGAAAAATGCACATAGATAATGCAAGATATTCTCTCAAAGAAGAATATGAAGTGGAAGTGTGTGTCGGGGAGGGGGGGGGGGGGGGAGGGGCTATTTTGCTCTTCCCAATTAACTTTCTATTTCATTCTCATATAAAATAATTAACATTAATTCATAATAAAACCATGCTGAAAGAGATGTTTGAATAGCAAGTGTTTTTTTTTCTTCTTTTTAAAAAATTATCTATAAAGTATTAGTGGCAAGCCTAGAGATTAATAAGGGCAAGAATAGAGATGAAAATCATATCAATTTTAAAAAATCCTGAGCTGTCCCAAATTTCTCAATCATAAGTTGAGTAAGTAGATGAAACACAAACTTTTTTTCAAACAGAGCAGCTCATTTGACTGTAGATGCAGTGGTACAGTAGATCATGCACTTGACATCACTATTGTGATTTTACCCCACTGTACTGTCTGAGGACGAAACACTTCCATTTCAAAATCATGCACTCGACGGAGTCTGGTAAACTGCTTAATTTCTATGAACAAATTCCAGATAGATCAACAAATAAACCAGCCACAATCAAAATTGAACCCCATATAAATGACTACTAAAAGAGTTAATTTCTAAAGAGAAAAAAAATCAAGCTCATAAGATCAGACTTGAGTTTGTTTAGTTTTTTTAAAGACTTTTTTGTGGATGAGTCCGGATTTCTCACCTGGACGATCATGCCTTTTCCTGAAAACTTTTCGTCCCTCTTCATGGTAGAGTTCTCTGTTGGTCTTCACTCCAACTCGAGGAGGATCGGAAGTGAAGCCGTGAGGGTACACTCTGTAGTGAGATTGGAAGTCCACCATTCTGCTGCCCCTTCACCTCTGTGTGTTCTTCACTATGAGAAAGTCAAAGGGAAAAAGATGAGCTCAATAATTCATAAAAATGTAATAAAGTGAAAGAGTGGAAACTTTCTTTTCCTGTCATTTTTTGGGGGGGCTATTTCTCAAGTGGCATATGTTCATTTTATAAACTTTATTTTCCTGTGACTAGTGTGCTCACATGATAGTGAAGTATCCTTGGTGACAATCATGGAGAAGTGTTTCTTCACAAAATGCAAAAATGTCCCTTTCCTCGACGAAAACATTATAATTATGACAGTACATAGAAATATTTTAGATCAAATCGCATTTAAGGTTATCAGGAAAACAAATAAGATATTGTTATTTGAATGACAACACTAAATTTTGGAAATGTTGAGTGTTATTTAGTGTCAGGTTTGAGGCTTTAAAATATAACTTACAGAAAAATATTTTTTGCGATTCAGCCGCAGCAGTTTCAGTATTAGATTCTATGCTCGGAGAGTAGGCCTATGTCAATGAGGAAAGGGAGCAGGGGGATAGTGACAGATTTTGAGGTCTATAAAACACCAAAAGGATCCAATTTGCTAAGTCCGATCCCTACCATTTAGGCCTATCATAAATTCCATCTCTCATCTTTTTTTTATACAAAAACCAATGCTGATTGCACCTTTCAAATAAAAATTAGTATCTGACACAAATGAAGCAACGATTTTATAGATTCCAGAGATGAAGCCTCTAATCATTAGGCCTATAATATCTTGGAAGCTGGTTAAGGTTTTGATTATTAAGGGCTCAAAATCAGACTTATGAGCTGATGCTGTTTAGCCCCAAATAGAAAGCTTTCAAAATCCTTAGGCCCTACACCCTCTCACACACTTGATACAACACTAATGCTACTAATTAGGCTATATAGTGTCTAATTAATCAAACAGTAGAAGACCTAGCTCTACAATTTAAATGTAAATTTCCTGTATGGTCGTATCGTTATCATAAAGATTCAAATGACTACTTTGGGTCTTAATTTATGAAGGAAGTGCCTATTTGCAACACCGCGTTGCGATTAGCGCCAGTGCTAAATAAAACGCCGCGTTGCAATTAGCGCCAGTGCTAAATAAAACGCTGTGTCGCCGGGTGTAAAGTATCAAGCTTAATCTGCACATCGTTATCGGAAGTTCTGATGGCCGAAGTGACAGCGTGTCTGCGCTTGAAGTGAAACCATTATTTTTTTACCGTTGGTTCAAGCCCGCTCCTAGACGAGGTTTTTTAAAATTGTTTTTTTGTTGTTGTTGTTGTTGTTGTCCTCTTCTCGACTGACCAACAAAGTGTTCCCATAATTATATCTTAACTGTTGCTTTGTAGTTTTTTTTATGTAGTGATGAAGCATGTACATTCTGCTTTTTGTCCCCAAGAGGAGCTCTGTACAAAGTAGGCCTTAGTATAGCCTATACTTTTCCTTTTACCAATTTAGGCCTGGTTAAAGTTCAGTAATGGCTTTCCTTGGTCTGTGAGTCAAATTTTTTATTTTTTTAAAATTTTAGGCTCAGGAGAAGGAAAAAAAAAAACCTTTCGGGACCGGGATTCGATGGTATGCTTGGAAGCACTGAACATTAGAATTAGAGAAATAGACAGTAGACAACTTATATACGTTCTCTAGGCCACTTAAAGTTCAAGTTGCACCATCTTGTTATTGTCATCCAAGCGTCTTAAAATTTCGACTTAAACTTGCTCAAACTCTAACTCAGATGATTATGATTATGAGAGATGAACAAGACGTCTACTTTAGTGCAAACAATGTCAGAAACAATAATAATTGTTAGATCTAATCTAGATCTAGATTTTTCTAGATCTAGATTAGATCTAGATCTACCCAATATTGATCGGAATAAGACAACGTTATAAAAAAGGAGTCAAATCCTAGGAGGTTTATCAAAAAAACTGAGAAAGCTTCCACAATTCAGGCAGAACTAAAATATTATCAAGTAGAAACGATGGCTACTACATCTCGATCTAGATCTATATTCTAGATCTAGCTCTAGTACTGGCGTTTCAAAAAGCGGCGTTGCAAATAGCACGGGAGCTATTCAGAACGCGGCGTTGCAAATAGGGCTATTTATGAAATAGTCTATAAAACATTAGTCCAGGTTGATAAGGACATGGTTTTTGGGAACATGGATGCTTTATTTTTGTTAGATCGGGGGTGCTTTGGCTTAATCTTATCATCGGATCAATAATTAATTCATTAGTCAAGATTAGTGGCTAAATTGGTGATAATTAGATCTAGATCTAGATCTAGAGCTAGATCTAGATTATCTAGATCTAGAATTCTAGTCATCTTATCATTTATCATTTACGATTTATGAACTTATGATGTTATTATTGGTAGTGTTAGATCTAGATCTAGATCTAGATCTAGATCTAGATCTAGTCTCAGCCACTGAAACTAATCCCCAACTCAGACCTTCAAAACTTTGAACTGGGCCTAAAAATGTGCAAACTACCGTAATTTTGTCATGAACAGAACGTATAACAGTGGTTTTCAGTCTTCCATCATGATTTTGGAAGCCATTGAGTATAATCTTGATGACATAGAATTTTGATCCAGATCTGATAGTGGTCGCTCGTTTCGGAAGTCCTCAATTGAAGAATTTAACGTGCTAAAGTAAAGCATATAAGACAAGATCACCAAGTGTAGATTAGATCTAGAATCTAGATCTAGATATGTGAAATTATTGTTCCACAAAACTTAAAAAAGGGAAACAAGTAGACAAGCTGTGAGAACAATTTTTGTTAAGTTCTTAAACAAAAACAGATGTACTTCAACTTTGAATTTTTCTGACCACTGTTTAATTTTTCTGGCCTTAGAAGACTCCAGGAAGCATCCTATTCATGGGCGCCGCCATGTTTTGGCTTGCCTAGCAACCTCTCCAAAAGGAAGTGAAATTTTGTATCGCATAATAATAATAATAATGATAATCATCATCATCATCATCATCATCATCATCATCATCATCACTCGTCTCGTCTCGTGTGATGATGATGATGATGACTATCATTATTATCATTGTTATTTTTATTATTATTGTTATTATGCGATACGAGTGGAGGTGCCACTAATAAGCATATTGCACAGAATTCTACACTTATAGAAGCGGAACTCCCTCTTCGCGATCGCCGATTCGCTGTGAGGAATTGAAACTAAAACATGGCGGCC